AAAAATAATTATTCTGGTTCTGTTCTATGTATGTAAACTGTCCCTGCGATACAGAAGAAACTCCTAGTGAGGAGGTAACGTTTTTTAAAAAGAGAGGAAGTCAGACAACTAATGAAATTAAACATTTTGTACGACCGACTTCAATACGAATACGCATTATTAAGGATAATTCCAAAACTACTAGTCAGATCATGATCAAATTTATATGGAATGTTTAAATTATAAGCACCAGCTTTCAAATAAATTAGAATCATCAAAATCGATTTATCTACAAAAAAGTTCTGAGGTAACACACATTAAAAAAAGACAGTCAAATTGAGTACCTCCTCCTTTTTTGAAGTCGGTTAAAATGGTAAGTAGGTAAATTATCTGAGTTTGAAACACGTTCACGTTGTTATAATATTAATTTTCCGCGATGTTGCATATTAACCTTCCTCACATTGAACAATAAAGTTTTGGCTTAGCAATAAGTTGCAACGCTGGGGACGTGGGTTTGAATCCCGCACGGAACATTGGTATGGTCTATTTGTATGGTCTACAAATAATTGTTCCGGGTCTAGGTGTTTATCCTTGTGCAATTTATGTTTGTTAACTGTCTCCACGATACAAGAGAAAATCCTAGTGTGGAAGTAACGTTTTTTTAACAAAATAAAAAAAAATTTTAATACATTGCATAACACCTCGGTATATTCTACTATATACCGCATGCGCGCGGCTTCCGATTGCCGAAGCCGACTTGTCATGCACACAGTTAGCTCTCCGCTAGGAGTAAAGTATACTGTGCAGTTAGCTATACACCGTCAAGTTTACCGGACGCCGCTTCAAGTGCGCTGGAAACTTGACGGTAAACTTGATCGCGTACGGCGGGCGTAACTTTAATGCTGGGACCACAGTAACGAGAAACGTCAATGCCCAAAAACGCAACAATTATTGCCTTAATTTTAACGCGATAAACTGAGTGGCCACACTTGGGTCGGTCAACGTCATTTCAACTTATGTTTTTTTTTGTTTTGGAGTTTATGGCCTGGTATCTAGACCTTTAGGCCAAGTCTTAAGTATTTTTATTCGGTTTATTGTAATTTCCCCACTCCTTCATAGTATACTGCTTCACAATATGTTGATGCGTCACATTGTGCAGTTCTTGGGAGATTTTGGCGGCAACTTGATCCAGCAGACAGCTGATAGTTGGCGATGGTATCTAAAGGTGCCTATGCAAACAAACAGCTTATCTTGAGAATCCATCACCATCAGAGCACTTGTTTCACTGTTTCCACTAATAGTTCACATGCGTAGACACTTAATACACAAAATCGCAACACTTTTACATATCAAAGTCCACTTCGAACCATTATTTAAACAATAATACAGGAGCAGCAAACCGCCGCCGGTCAATTTCCCGCCAAAAACTCTCATTTCAACTTAAATGCCGTTGAACCACAGATTAATTAATAGTTTACTAAAGTTGAACGGCGTTAAAGTAAACTGACCATTTATTTATTAACTCAAAACGGGACATGGGTTTATTTGTACTCCCCAGTTAGCAGGTTAATAATAATAAAAAATTATGTTATTTATTTAATAACTGTAACTTTATACAATTAGTGTTCACTATAATTATAATCGCATTAATTATAATTATTTTTATTTTAACAAATTGTGAAAAATAAAATTAATCACCAGTTCACCAGCTTCATTAAAGCAAAGTTCCTCAGAGAGTAATTATTAAATGCCACATATTTTTTAATTATATTTATATTTGTCAGTGGAATAAATTTGCTTTAATAAAGTTGGTGATAATTTTAAATAAGGGCAAGTTTTTTTTTTACATTGATTTTTATTATCAACATCGCCTTTAGAACTGGAACCTGTAAGTGATTTTTTTTTCAGACGTCCACAATTTATTCATAATAGAAAAATACTTTTTCTACTGAAGCATTTGTACCAGGTATACATAAAATATATTCGATTAAAATGCAAGAGAATTTATGTTGAGAATGTTGGTGAAAAATGTTTGAATCACGCAACGAATTTCTGCGAAAACTTTGAAATTATCCCATTCGGTTATTTTTTGGTCGGTCCCGCTCTCGCACAGTTCGTGTCTGACGAACTTCATAGTTTTAAATTTTCTCGCGGTTTAGGACAACGGGACTATTTTGCGTCCCGGAGATTTGTTTGGGGACAACGGGACAGGTGACCGAGAAAAGGGACAGTCCCGTTCAAAACGGGACGTATGGTCACTTTACGTTAATATTCCTTGAATTTCTAGCAAGATGAACGTTGACGCTGCTACACTATGTTTGATGAGTGTAAATTTTTATTATATGAATATATTTTACCATTGCCTAAGCATGGCTCTGTTTGCAGAATCTCAAGAAACGTAATAACTTTTTCATTATTCCACTCTATCGTAGCCATACGTGCGACTCCGTTGCGCTCACCGTGCACAATGAGACAAACGTAGTGTGGCCGCTTCAACGCGTTAATTCGTGCGTTCATCTCTTCGATGTACCGACACTCAAGTTATCGTTCAACGGGAAACGGCATTGTTCTTACCGTTGTAGAATTGTCGCATTAAGTGGTGGCCACACCTACATTCAACGCCCATCAACGCGATAATCAACGGCATTTCTCGTTAGTGTAGCCCGGGTATTACAATATAGATTTGATCAAGGTTTATTTTGATACCGGTTGACTGACACGTACATAGTTGACTTCAATAGTTTGTTCATTTTTACCGTCCTTCGAGAGTAAGAACACTTATAAAAATAATTATGTCTGACAAGACAGATTTGTTACTAGACAGTGTAGGAATTATCGCAGACTTGTTAATACAAGAGCTAAAACGAGTAAAGAAAAGAAAAAGCCGCAAAGGGAGAATTTGGACTCGCTTCTGGATTCTACGTCGCAAAAAGTGGGAGCATTTAATATTATTTTTTCAATTTTCCTTGGGTGTATATCGTTCGAATATTGTTAATTTTGCTGTTGACCTCTTCTATAGTAATACCGTCCATCTCAAGATTTCTCACCATGCGCTGCAACGCCACATTTCTAGCATCTTTTATCTTTCAAGAACAAGGATCTTTTTGAGGATTTCTTTGAGCCTCACGTACGTTGGTTAGTTGGTTTTGGTTGGATATGTGATAACGATTATGTATTTAGGTTTGTTTATATGGTATGTCATTTGATAACATAACATTATTAGTTTCGTTTTACGGAATTCCGTTTCGGGATTCTTTTTCAGAATTCAGAACGGGTCGGAAACTCACATACGGAATCCTGTTTTGCCCGCAAAATTTCGAATGGAAAACTGTCGTACGTGTGTGACGGGTCTTAGATTTTATATGGACTTGCTGCATTCGGAATCCCGAAACGGAATTCTGTATGTATGGGGCGGGCCTTAAAGTATTATGTTTCTGTGGCTATTCTATTGGCTGAAAAGACATAGAGCAAGGAACATACTACTCTCTAGCTCTAGCACTCTAGCGAGACATAGACATAGAGTACCTTTTGCGATAACACTTCTTATTATATAGTTTATGGTATAAACCGAAAGGCAGCCCGTACACACTCAATCTCGATCGCGATCGGTGATCAAAATCAATGATCGCGATCCAGATTGATAGTGTACGAATAAGATTGATGGATTGATGCATTTGATCACAAAATATCTAGATATTTTGAAATCAAGATCGCAATCCGCTGATCGTGATCAAGATTGAACGTGTAAGCGCAGGATCGCATCAGTCTCGCTGTGCGCTTCAATAAAAATGGGTGACGATCACACGTGCTCCCCGTCACCGCCGATTGAATCAGCGAATGCACCTACTTTATTTCAATTGGAAGAAGATTTTATCATTCTTTTAGAAACTTTACCAGAACTGTGGAATCCCCGGCATAAATATTATACAAACAAATACAAGCGACAAGCTGGATACGAAAAGTTGCTCGACGTTTACAAGAAAATCAAGCCACAAGCGACTGTTGAAGATGTCCGTAAAAAAATAAATAGTCTCAGGTCCAACTTTAGACGAGAACTAAAGAAAATAGCTTTATCAAAAAGATCTGGAGCCGGTGTTGACGACTTGTACACACCAAGAACAAAAACATTCAAACAGCTAGGTTTTTTATACACTACCGAGACACCAAATTACATTCAACAGGTGATAATTTTGGTTTGTAACTTTTTAACCGAAAAGAAGGAGGTTCTCAATTCGGCTGTATTCTTTTTTTAATATTTGTTACCTAATAACTCCGTCATTTATAAACCGATGAGATAAAAAAAAATATTTGAAAGAATATACTTCCAGATTGGTCCCATTTTTATAAAAATTAAATTCAGTACTGATGGTGGGGGCATGGTAGGGGTCGATGTGGAATGGAGGGAGTCGGTTTCTTTTTGTATTTTTCTGCCGACTTCCAAAAAGGAGACGGTACTCAATTCTACTGTATATTTTTTTTATATGTGTGTTACCTCATAACTTTGTACTGGGTGAACCGATTTCGATGATTCTTTCTTTATTTAAAAGCTGGTACATCTCGTGTGGTCCCATATGATTTTGATCAAGGTCAGACCAATAGTTTTTGAGTTATTCTTAATAACTTATATTAAAGTCGACTGTACAAAATTTTTAATTTTAAATTATTCTTAATTTAGCATTTTTGCCAGGGTGAAATAAAACTAAATAAATAATAATGTCACTATATTGCATCTATTGTCTATACGGTAGGTACATTTGTAATTAGTTAATATTTTGATGTACCGCTATAAGTACGTACGCTAGGGTTGCCAACGCGTCCTGTATTCCCACATATCCTAGTTTTTGTAGTGTCCTGGGATGTCCTGGATTGTTTTAAGCAGTGTCTTGGGTTTTTAAAGCGCCTTGATAAGATCATGTATTTTTAAGATCACGGCGTTGAAATTAACGACGTAAAACTATTTGACGAGATAGACAGCGAACCGACAGCGTGGCGAAGCGAAAACGAAAACGAACCGGTACTTGCATACATAGTACATACATTCGCTACGTTTTCGGTTTGGTTTGGTTCGCAGTTATGTTTGACAAGGCATTTACTGCGTCCTGTTTTTAAACTAAAATGTCCTGGTTTTTTCAACTTCAAATCCTAGCTTTTTAAATTTGGGGTTGGCAACCCTAACGTGTGCAGGTTATATTCTACCTTCATTACAAAAGTAACTACAAAAATTTTCTCTTATAGCTTTGGCTTCACAGTTTGGGTTACGATTGTGTGTTCTTTGCAGGTCTTCTAATCTATTTATATTATTTCCATTTTCACCATTTTCATTTGAAAAACTGTAAGAGTTTGCATTTTTCCTTAAATAATTATGTAAGTAGCAACATGTTGCTACTATCAATGAAGCAGTATCGGGTTCAAAAGGTAAATCTTTTTGAAAAATACCAGACTTTGAATTCAGTATTCCGAAAGCACATTCAACTACTGAACGTGCTCGTGAAAGACGGTAATTAAAGATGTGTCTATTTTCGTTCAATACATTTTGAGCGTAGGGCTTCATTAAATTGGGACCCAATGCAAATGCTTCGTCAGATATAAAAACATATGGAAATGTCTGTCTTGTATTTGGTAGTGCCGATGGTTCTGGTAATTTGAGAGTGTTCTGTTGATACATCTCCCAAAATTTGGTATAGAATAAAACACCACCATCAGATACCCGACCATTAGTTCCTACATCAATCATTATAAATTCTTTTTTTGCACTTACAAGTGCCATAAGTACTATGCTATAAAACCCTTTATAATTATAATACATAGATCCTGATGCAGCTGGTTTCTTTATGCCAACATGTTTCCCGTCTAATGCACCAAAACAATTCCAAAATTGGTGTATTGTTCCAAAATCATTTGAAATTATTTTCCATTCTTCAGCTTGTGTCGGCATCTAAAACATAAAGCAACAATTATAAACAATTCCAAATAGCAAACTTGAGAACTAGTTGGGTAAACAATGTACTTTAATTATATTTCAGGATGAAAATTCTGGAGAAATTTCTGCGAGACACGAAAGCGGTCAAGAAACTATAACAGAAAATCCATCACCGGGAAAATTTTCTTCAATCGCAGAAATTGTTCATCCGCCTAAACACAAGCAAAAACCAAAGACATTGCTGACTAAGCAAAATGAGCTGCTAGATCGAGCAAACATATTTTTGTCACAAAAAACGTCTCTGGAATCAACTACCACGACTAATTCCCTAGCATTGGTGTGGGCAGAAAAGCTCGATAAATTACAACCTCAACAACGATTCTTTGCAGAGAAAGCAATTCATGATACTTTATTTGAGGCGGGGTTGGGAAACCTTCACCGATTTTCTGTGAAAATCAACGAACCTACTCATAGGAATGCGATGTCACCATATTCATACAACGCCTCTCCTTTGCATTTACATAACTCTCCAATACCACACTACTCTTCGCCGGAAAACCCACCTTCTCCCTCAGACTTGCACTACTCTTCAGTTACTTCTCCTACACACTCTTCATTGCAGTCCTCGACAGTAGATGTTCCACACACATCCACATTTGAACAGTCACAAGTATTTGCTGAAGCTACTGTCTCACGCACACATCATTCGTCGTCGACTACTTCTACTCCAACACATTCTTTGACCATTGTGCCTCAACCAATGTCCTCTCAGTTAAAACTTGGAATAAATTCACATCCCGGTGCTTCTACTTACCGAAAAGGTTTTGCATCACAAATAATAATACACCAAAATACGGATGTCCCTACTTTACATATTCCAGATACCCAATCAAATATTGAAGATTATACAGTGGGGTCATTGTTTGCAAGATATAATCCGAATGATTAAATAATTGCAACCTACTTTAAAATAATTAAGTTGATTTTCTAGTTATTATTATTGTAATTCGCTGTTTATTATATTATTTACCTTATATTTCAATGTCTTGAATTTGTACTTATGCTAAATAAACTTACAAAATAAATAAAATACGTTTACTTACTTTCATATAGTCCCTGAGTACATAAATAAGAGCTCGGCATGTAATCTTGATTGCTTCACTAATAGCAGCAGGAGATATTATAGCTGAAAATTTATATCTTCAATATTTCTGCCAGTAGCAAGATAACGTAATGTTACTGCAAGTTTTTCTTCAGGTGTAATACTTTTTCTCATACAGGTATCTCGTTTGGTTATATATGGAGTTATCATTTGTAGTAACTCATCGAAACATTTTTCCCCCATCCTGAAGTAGTTTTTATAATCGTCAGTTTCAGCAGCTAGTTGAATTTCTTTTAGTAGATTTAAGTGAGTGTACCTTTCTCTCTTAAGTAGCCACTGTTTAACCCACTGCCTTTTTCGAATCCTTTTCTTCAAAGTAAGGGCCAAAACAAGTGATATTACAGCGTTAACCTCATGTAAATCCATGACCACAGAGTAATTGTTAATATGACAAGACAACAGGCGTTGGTAACGCGGCGGTAACGATAAACGGACTGAAGAAATCAAGATTGAACGTGTAATGTCGTGGCGCAATCCGGTGATCCGTGATCGCGATCAGAACTGTGTGATTGCAATCGAGATTGAGTGTGTACGGGCTGCCAAAGACAAGAGCAGAAGAGTAGGTACAAGTTAGTGTTCTGTGGGTACAAGACAAGATGACAGTTTCTACAAGAACTTTAGTAAAAATTGCTGCTTGGGGTGCTCTTGTAGTTAGCTCAACAGGTTTTTATTTACAGAATAAACTTATAGATAGGTATAGAAATTGGGACTCTTACAAGGACGCCTTGCGGAAACTGAGGGCTCATCCAGGTGCCGTGCATTACCTTGGAGAACCAATCAAGGATAAGCGATTTAAGCTGAGTGATACTGAACATAATTTCTCTGATAGAACAACAGCACGTTTTCGTATACCCGTTTATGGACCAAAAGACAAAGGCTATTATTACTTCTGGGCTGAAAAAGATAACGACAATTGGTTGTTGGTTAGAGCTGATTTGGAATTAAAATCAAAACCAGAAGAAAGACTAATTATAATCAAAGAAAATAAGTAGGCTTTAATTACATAAGTGGTAAAATTTATTTATTCTTAGAAACTATATGATATTATGATTTTTGAATAAATTATTAACCTTATACTATGTAAACACTTATGTAAATAAGATAGCTTCTGTAAATGAGATCTTGTAGCAAGAGCAAAGGAATTACAAAATTAGACAATTTTTTTTATATTAAAATTAATTTTATTAAGTAAATAGCCTAATTAAATTAAATGATCACTTGAATTAGTAAAGCTGTTTTTGTTAAAAAAAAATGAGTGTACAATATATTTTATATTTAGGATTCTTTAATAAAGAGTCCTCCAACCTTAATATGGGGGAACAAGGTTCTTGGATCGTCTTCAATCCTCTTGTAGGTCGCAGATATTGTCCTAAATTAAGGCATTGAAATAGATACAGATGATCAGCAAAGTCAACACTGACAACTTATAAACACATGCATGTAATGAAGTTTGCATACATTTTTGCATAAAATTACTGCAATTCAATCTAATTGTTAGTGCACTTCTGATACTTAATTTTATATTTAATAGTTATAATTTTATAGTTGAAGCACAAATGGGTCGACTCGACCAGGAAGGACCACACTCTCACAGAATACCAGCGTAAAATAGCAGCTTAATGCTGCTGTGTTTCATATGGTGAGTGTAGAGAACCAGAGACCCTTTTTACTGGAAAAGAGGCATTCCATCTTAGTCCTCATGGGTGACAACACATTTGAATTTTGATTCGCAAACGAGGATAGATGTAGATGTCTATGGGCCACAGATACCACTTACCATCAGGTGGACTGTGTGCTCGTTTGTCACCCTATCCTATAAAAAAAATTATTAGGAAATATATTGTAGTACCCAAAAATAGTTACCGTAAACATGGTTGATAGGAACAATTTTCAATTTGAAAGAGACCTATATTGTATTAAGATTTTATATTTCAATTATTTGTAAATACCCACTTTCAATTGTGCACGTCTTAAGCACAAAGGGCATAGGTATGTTCTACTAGCGCCTAAAAATCAAGATTCCAACGTTTTGTCACATGAAATAGTATCTAACAACCATATTGAACATATAAATTATATAAAAATCATATTGTCAAAGAGATAAATGATTGTTGAACTTATTTTCTTTTTAAATCGATCTATTGCCATTTTGGCATTAAAAAAGCGGTTTTTGTAGCAGCACATGGAAGTGTAAACACAATAACTTTTGAAAATATCAATTGTTCAACTCAATCTATTTTTTAAACTCTTCATCTGTCATATGGGAAGCCATGGAATATAAGTGGCAGTTTAATTTTGTTTTGTCTTTTTTAAATTATAGGATAAGGGTGACAAACGAGCACACAGTCCACCTGATGGTAAGTAGTTGCTGTGGCCCATAGACTTCTACATATATCCTTCATTCCAAATCAAAATGTAGATGTGTTGTCAGCCGTGAGGACCAAGATGGAATGCCTCATTTCCAGTAAAAGGGGCCTCCGGCCACCTGCACTCACCAAGCGAAACGCAGAGGTAAAACTCTACTTCACGCTGGTTTTCTATGAGGCCTGGTACCACCCCGGTTCGAGTCGGCCCATCCGTGCGACAGCAAAAGCTGCCGCGTGGCTCTACCTATATTAAAAATGATAGAAATCGATTCAGTTAACGATTCTGAACAAACTGATTTCAGACTCAAACTGATGCTGTTGGCCCTGCGGCCTTTACAGCTACCACTGTTTAGTTATAATAAATTTTTTTGGCTGAGATATAGCAAATTTTTTAGTGTTTTGAGCTGCCTTGTATTAATTTGTTTTACTAAATACACTTTGCCACACTCCCGGCCACATAGTACTTGTTTACTCTGGGCTCAGCTGCCGTCGTGAGAGGTCGTTTGTTTACAGTGGTTCGTGCTGAAAAATATCGACCGCTTAAGAAATATAAAATATTCCAAAAGCCAAAGATACATACTTGACCAAGGTAAGATATTATTATTAATTTTATAATCACAGATTTTTATTACAATATTTTGTTCCACTTGACACATGTAGGATTAATACATAAATATACTTATACATCTTGGACTTTATGGAGACCTGAAGGTGTACTGCGATATCTGCTACTGCGACTCCTCGACGAGTAGAACTAGGTGTAGTGAAATTGTTTTCGTTATATCAGTTATGATGAGACCTTACCCCAACTTGAAGATGTACTTCGGTGAATGTTACTTAAACTCCTCGAAGAGTAGTAATAGTACTAGGTGTGCTGAGCTTGGGCTTGTTTTGTTAGTTATGATGAGACCTTACCTTCGAACAGTTGCGGATTATCCTTAAGGCAAATCAGGCACGTGCCTAGGGGCACGCGCGGAAGTTTTAAAACGAAAAAAAAAACAGTCGTATTTGATTACTCCTAAATAACTCTTACTCTCTCATAACATTTTTCATTTATGACTCCCCCCCCCCACCTGTTAATGGTACTCTCTTAATTATTTTACAATTATTATACTATATTATAAATTATAATATAGTTTATTTGCAAAATTAGTATATTTAATTTATAATAGATATAATATGGCCCCTAGATGGGCGCCGATGAGGATAGCCTAGGGCGCAGTCAACATTTAATCCGCCTCTGCCTCCGAACTTCATGACCTGCAAGTGTTCTTTGATGAATGCTATTGGAACTCCTCGAAGCGTAGAACTAGGTGTGCCGAGTTTGGCCTCGTTTTGTTGGTTATGATGAGACCTTACCTCCGAACTTAATAGAGTGACTTGAAGGTGATGATGACTGCTACTGGAACTCTGACGAATAGAACTACAATTTGCATTTTTTTTTCACTATCTATATGAGCATTATGTGGCTGCACTTTTGGATTTACATATTATGGGGTCCTTCTCGATATGGAGAAGGCCTTCGACAGAGTGTGGCACGCAGGGCTAGTGTATGAGTTAATTGAGCATGCGACCTTGCTGCCAATGCTTGTGCGGCTAATAGCGTCGTTCCTGGAGGGGCAGATCTTCTATGTTAGCCCAGAAGATACTGTTTCGGTAGTACGACCGATCGTAACGGGAGTGCCACATGGCAGCTGCCTACTTCCGTACTTTGATGTCGAAACGGTCACATTTCTAAAACGGGTTTTTACCTTACATTTATTAGCGTCACCTACTGGGGAATAGCTAAAATTTTTTTCCTAATAAATATTCAGCGTAGTTTTACTATGTTTAGCTACAGGGCTTCACACACGCGCGAGCTCATTTTTTGTATACAAATGTTCCCTATGTCCGCTCTATATATACCTATATATTTAAGTCTCTTTGGAACAGTCATTATTGAATTATTTGTCAAATCATTGGTAAATATTGCTTTCAGTTTATGCAATAACTTCAAATGGAAGATATTAACAAAAACCGCTTTATTGGAACTTCAAAAGAAAAATTTTTCTATCACAATACTTTATTATGTTTGGTTCAATCACTTCAAGGACAAAACATTACCGTAGATCTTCGTAATGATTCATATGTTTGTGGGACTGTCGTTTCTGTTGATGGGTAAGTTCAATTGTTTTCATTTTCTCCTACATATGTTTAAAGTACAGTGTAAATTCTATATAGCTACACTGAAGGGACTCCAATGTTTTTATTGAAAGATGTTAATTGCAACGAAGAAAAATCAATATTATTTTACTATTATAATATAATTTTCTAATAAAGTGTAAAATATAAAAAAACAAACATTAATATTGATACAAATTGAGGTAGCAAACATTTATGAATGAAAAATAGAAAAACTAGTTATTAAAGTAGACAATTATTAGGTTAAATAGGTACGTAGGCCTTTTTGTTAAATAATCTGGTTCCCTGACATGACACCTTACTAAGGTTGACAAAATGTTTGGCTTTGATAATCTATAATATAAAAATGAATCGCTAAATGTGTTGCTAAGCGCAAATCTCGAGAGCAGCTTAACCGATTTCGCCAATTCTTTTTTTATAATATTCCTTGAAGTACGGAGATGGTTCTTACGGAGAGAAAAATTTAAAAAATTGCCTGTAAAGTCTAAAAACAACACTTTTCTATATTCCCATACAAAGGATTCGTAATAATACTAATATTCGTAATAATTCGTAATTTTTCGCAGGTAGGAGTTGATTAAGTTAGACATATTTTAATACACTGAAATCTTTAATTTGTATAATATTATATCTAGGGACTATTTAATATAAATTTAATGTTCCTGTGATATATAAACTCCTGCCAGTCAAGTCTGAAATATATTTAGAATAACTTGAACTCTTTAGCACATTCACTTCACTACCACATTGTTATAACCTTAAAAACAAATGGAGTCAATTAAGAAAACTGTTGCGGACCTCACTGAACATTTCAATTTAAGGATGGCTGAGTTCCAAAAAGATCTCAGGATTCAATTCCAGCAACAAGCCCCACTTCAAATATTAATCACCAATTTCATTCATTCCGGTGCTTTGTTTTAACTGCTTTAGAAAATTTGCAACTGCAAGTTGAACTATTAGCTCAACAAAATGATAACATGGAGATGAGATCTCGAAGAAAAATCCTGCTTGTTCATGGTATAGCCGAAGACAAGAAAGAGAACACATCCTCTAGTGTTGTCAAGATTCTATCTGACCACTTGAAAGTCCCTGGTATTACCACTGATTCAATAGGCCGGTCACATCGTCTTGGTCAACCTGGCACTGATAAACCCCGGGCTGTGCTTGTAGAATTTAGAGACTATGGGACAAAAGAGAAGATATGGCTTGCAAAGAAAAATTTGAAAGGCACAGGGATTACATTGTCCGAATTTCTTACAAAGGGTCGACATACTACATTCCAAGCGGCGCGCCAACGTTTTGGAGTTTCAAGGTGTTGGACGAGGAATGGCATCATCTTCGTACTAGGACCTGATCAAGTACGCCATCGTATCCATTCTAGGCTTGATCTTGATGCTATTTCGACCTCTGAATCGGTGACTCAAGCCACATCTGCTGTAACCTCGGTTCCAAGTGTGGTGAAAGACTCCAGGTCTGCTCAAGTAAGAACCAAGAGAATTGGTAAAAAATGAATCCTTTTTTTTGAGCTGGTTAAATCTGTTGTATCTCCTGCGACTACCGTATTTTTGGTTTGTTTACATTCTTCTATTGTAAAAATTTCTAATTTATTTTTATTAATATATATCACCATTTTTCTTTTATATTTTCGATGTGAGGTAGTTGGTAGTAGGAGAGAGGGAAAGAAAAAAAAAGCATTTCAATGTAAACAAACAATAAGTGAATTGACATGACATTGGATAACAGTTGCACATTTTTATTTCTTTCTTCGGCGTAGGCAAAGGTCTCATGGTCATACAGCCGTACCTTATGGTATTTTTGCCTTCTACATTTCATGTTTTTGTTTTTTTTTTTCTCTTTTCTTATCACAAAGCAACATTTCTATAACAGTTCTCTTTGTGCTTATTACATATTTTTATTTGTAAAATGCTATTTGTTTACAGTTTTTGGTAGTTTTGTTTTGTTTAAAAATTGTCTCTTTTTATTTCAGTTATTCTGAAACATCTATTATTATTATTATTATTTTTGTTTCATCTCTTTCAGACTGCTGGCGGGATAGAGATCTGTTTAGGTACTTACTTATATATTTAATTTAACTATTTAGTTTTATATTTATATATCATATATATTATATATTTTATTTTATTTTACTATGTTGTTAAATAATTATGATGTAGGTAATGATTCTGACGATTTCTTGTCTTTATCGTCAAATGATAATGCATCTAGTGAACACAGCTTCCACAGTACAACATCTTCAATTCCGATAAATGTAGCACTTAATTCATATTTCTCAGATTCCCTGAAAAACTTTAATGTAATTCATATAAATGCCCAAAGCATTCCGGCTCATTATCCTGACATGCTTGCGTCCCTTGAATCCCATAACGTTCACGCCATTCTAGTCTCTGAATCTTGGTTGAAACCATGCTTGCCATCCACTTCTTATTCATTACCAGGATTCCATCTTATTCGCAACGACCGTATTGGAAGGGGGGGTGGTGGTGTGGCAATCTATCTCCGTTCTTATTTACCTTTTGCGGTAGTAAGTTTGTCCCCCCAACCATCTCCTTCCAATGCGGCTGAGCATCTCTTCATTGAAGTAACCCTATCCAATACGAAAATTCTTCTTGGCGTTTGTTACAGTCCTTCTCTTCATATTGACTATTTCTCTTCTTTCGAATTTTTATTAGAAAATTTAATCCCATTATATACTCACACTATAATCATGGGTGACTTTAACACATGCCTACTCAAGGGTGACTATCGGCGTGAAAAGCTAAAATCATTAACCGAGGCATGTAATCTACATATATTACCACTATCTGCTACGCATAAAATGCCTGACTGTACTCCATCACTACTTGACTTAATTTTTGTATCCTCTCCAGATTTTGTCCTGAAGCATGGCCAGCATGACGCTGATCTTTTCTCTCATCATGATCTCTTGTTTCTTGCATACAAAGTTCGTCCTCCTAAAGCAAAATCAAGAATTCTTCTGCAACTTAATTTTGGTGGAATGGACAAAGAACGTCTTCTGGAAGATGCTCGTCGCATGGACTGGTCAGCTGTTGAAAATGCTTCAACAGTCGACTTGAAAGTCGAGTTATTTAACTCCTTTCTTATCCAACTTTATGACATCCATGCCCCAGTAAAATCAATAAAAATGAAACATTTACCTGCACCTTGGTTAACTGATAGTCTAAAAAAACTTATTATAAAAAAAGGATTTGCTAAAAGTAAGTTAAAAGCTGATAAATCTGAGAAAAACTTACGATATTATAATAAAGTACGGAATCGCTGCAATACATTGTGTAGGGATGCACAAAGACGCCATATTCATAAATCCGTCGAAAACGGCGACGCAGCCAAAGTTTGGAAGTTTCTTCAGTCTCTTGGAGTTGGTAAAACATCCAATAATTCTCCTCATCATAATGTTGATGTTGAATTCCTTAACAAATACTTCACCTGTTCTAGCACATTAGATAGCTCAGATAAAGATCGGACTCTGAGTATTCTTTCTTCAATACCAACTCCTGATTTTCCACCGTTTAATTTCTCTCCTTTCACTGATAGTGATGTTAAAAAGAACATTTTGTCCATCTCGTCCAATGCCGTGGGTGATGACAATGTTAGTCGTAACATGATCTTACCTATCCTAGAATTTGTTACTCCTATCCTTACCCATATCTCGAATAAATCCATCTCCTCTTCAAAATTTCCTGATGTTTGGAAAAGTGCACTTGTAACGCCTCTCCCAAAAAAACCCCATGCTTTACATTTTTCCGACTTTCGTCCTATCTCAATTCTCCCGTTTTTATCCAAACTCCTGGAGAAACTAGTTTTCTTTCAGTTAAATCTCTACCTAAATAGAAATTGTATCCTGGATCCTCTCCAATCTGGTTTCCGATCGGGTCATAGTACGACAACAGCGTTGGTTAAAGTTACTGATGACATTCGACGAGGTATGGATAACAAACAGCTCACTGTGTTAGTATTGCTTGATTTTAGCAATGCGTTTAACACTGCTGATTTTGACATCTTATTGAGTGTGTTACGTTCTATTAACATATCTCCTCCGGTGATTGGCTGGTTTCATAGTTATCTTTACGGCCGACGGCAGCGTGTTCGCATCGAAGATGAGTTCTCATCTTGGTGCGAATTACGGGCTGGAGTGCCTCAGGGTGGTGTGCTGTCTCCTTTACTTTTTGCTATATTCATTAATTCTATCTCTCAAAATATTACTTCTCTCTATCACATGTATGCAGACGATCTCCAAATCTACACTCAGTCAACTCTGTTAAATCTGCCTTCTGCTGTTGCCACCATCAACAATGACCTAGCGGCGATAAACCAGTGGAGTCAGCGTTATGGTCTAAAAATTAATCCGTTCAAGTCCCAGGCTATAGTTATTGGTGGTGGAGGGATGGTCTCCAGAGTTGACTGGAACAACCTACCCTCGGTGACACTAAATGACGTTGTCATACCCTACAGTAAATCTGTAAAAAATCTGGGAATATATCTAGATTCTACCTTGTCGTGGTCGCAGCAGTTAAAACAAGTGAGCAAAAAGGTGTTTGCTACTATGGGTTTACTTCGTCGTTTACGTTCTTTTCTCCCCATTCCCACTAAGATTATGTTAGCACAATCCTTACTTCTCTCTATTCTCGATTACGCGGACGCAAGTTATCTCGATTTAACTGAAGACCAACTGAACAAACTTGAGCGAATTCAAAATATTGCTATTAGGTTCATATTTGGTTTGCGCAAATATGATCATGTATCCGAATATCGTTTACAGCTCAAGTGGTTACCCATTCGCTTTCGCCGGAATCTGCAAACTGTATCTCTTTTGTACTGTGTGTTGTTCAATCCTTTGACTCCAAGCTACTTGAAGGAAAACTTTAAGTTTCTTGGTCATGATCGACCTGATAGAGTTCTACGGTCAGCCGGCGAACTAATTCTAGAACCATGTTCATTTCGAACAAAATTTATGAAATATTCTTTTACGAGCCAAGCCATAAGGTTATGGAATGAACTTCCACTCCAAATTCAACGTGCTCAAACTTTGAAAAGATTCAAAAGTGACGTCAAGAAGCATTACCTAACACTTTGTGGTTATTGATAACCAATTCTAGCAATATTTATTATCTTTGTATATATATGTATGTGTATATATTTATATATATATATATATATATATATATATATTATATTTATATATATATATATATATATATATATATATATATATATATATATATATATACCTATTTATTAATATGTATGTTTATTTTATTATTATTTTTTATGTATTATTGTGGTATTTTAACAAAATATAGTTTAGTTTATTTAGATATTAGTATGTAAGTGTAACATAAAGCGCACCACCTCCTACTGTTCTTAATTCCAGTTTCTCTTTAGCCCAAAGGTTGTCTGGAAGAGATCGCTCTTTAGCGATAAGACCGCCTTATTGTACATACGTATATATTAAGTTTTCTCTGTAATGTATTTATTTGTTGTATATGTGTGGTGTACAATAAAGTATATACTACTACTAATACTTAAAAGTCAATTTGAACTTTAATACCATACCATAAAGTTCAAGTATTAGTGGAGGGGTGCCGGGAAGGCAAAACAATTAAGTGACGTTAGTATCGTATAAATACTAATGTCAATATTTGTCAATATTTATACACACTGGCAGATAACTGATGTTATAAGGAATAACTTGGGCTGTTTTTATGTTAGGGTTCCGAAAATTAACTCCACGCGGGCGAAGTCGCGGGGAACAGCTAGTTAATTATATTTTTACGGGGTATTTTGTAACACGTATTCTGAACACGATTCCCGTTTATTTTCTAAAACTCAATTAGTAAAAAGCTGTTATTTTGACCTTACACACAGACACTTCAATTTTTTTTTTGTAATGCAGTGTATAGATAATGCTTACTTAGTTTTGTCTCTCATTTTACAGATTTATGAACATCTCGTTTTCTCATGCTGTATACTGTGATACAAAAGGAAATGAGTTCTCTTTTGAAAATCTGTTTGTGCAAGCACGTAATATCAGATACGTTCACATACCGGAAAATGTAAGTAGTATAATCTTATGTTGGTCGTCCTTTTTATGGACTACGTAAAATCGTTTTTTTATTTTTTTTATTTTTACAACTACAAATATACATATTATACACAGTTCATAAGTACAGTGCAACATAAACCTATATAAGATTAAAAGAAAAATAAATTTACAAGATGTTTAGGAGCAATTCTGTCTGATTATCAGTTGGTACCTTAAAAAAAGGATTTTATATTTAGCAATATCAAGTCCCTTAATTAAAAAGAACCTGAAAGAAAACTTTGGTACATGTGTTCATTTAGAATTTGTACCGGTTATTTTTACATTTCTTAATATTACTAGAAATCTGCCAACACATTCTCTTGTTTAGCATTGTTCATTAACTTTGAATACATTAATTAATTAATAATAGGATATTAGGATAAACAATATTTCAATATCAAAGCTACGAGCACAGGTCAGTTTAGTTATTTCGTTATTCAGTCACCAATTGACTATCCAAAATGAAAATTACTTCCATCAATCACAAATTCGGTCAACATACAGCTAAATATTCTTTATTACTATATATTTAATTACTGTAAAGATAGATCTTGTGTCCTTGGCTAAGTAGCAAAACAACTATCTTGTTTTCTCCCGTCCCGAGGACGAATTTTCATGGAATTTGGTGTAGAAATAGTTAATAACCTTATACCAGAATTATTTTGTGCGTGCAGTTTGGGTCATAAATCATCGGAGTATTTCGCTCTCTCTCCCACTCACGGGCCTTAGGGGCGAGCATAGTGATGCGCATTATTGTTGTCGATAAGCGTTATCGATAGTGTATTTAGTTTTGTCATTATGTGGGTTAGTGATAAAAATGAAATTTTTTTTAGATAAAACAACGTATTTATTAAAATAAGAATAATAATGATTTAAAATAAATTATTAATTAGGAATCTATGTATTAAAACAACTATAAGTACAAATGTTTGGAATTTAACAAGTTATATTAAATATGAAGATAATAACTTATATCTAAAATTAAATTTGTTGTTATCGATAATGGCGTTGCGCCCGCGCAACATGCTCACCGCCCTAGCTGGGCTGAGGCAGAGCTTTGATTTATGACCCCAACTGCACGCACAAAGTAATTTTACTATAGGCAACATAATATAGCCTTTTGGTTACTATCCGACTAGGGAAATGAAAAAAGGAGGGGTATATCTTACCTTTATTTGGATGTTTATTTTCATAACAAGAATAATCAGTAGTAGACTTTTCTATTCCACCGTGTATGACTATTTTGCGTATATTTTGATTAAATTTACTATATTTTGTTTATTGCTTCAGATATCAATATTGGGTAATATTAAGGAAGCAGTGAAGAAAGATTTTAAGAAGAAATCATTTGAAACATCCTCTGTTAAGAAGTCCAGAAAGGCTAAAAAGGCACTTAAACAACATATGCAGATTGTAGCATCACTGGAAAATACAAAATAAGTCAACTTTTTGAAACTAACAGGGAAATAAAAATTTATGTTTTGTAAAATATTATATTCTAACATCAATTTTATAAAATTAAAACTTATTTCAACAATTATGGACATTTATTCAAACATTAACGCTCCAAAGATTAGATGGTAAATAAAACTTTGGTCTACTATGAGAATAATTATTAATTTGCACTGTATTTTTTTTATAGGATAAGGGTGATAAACGAGCACACAGTTAACCTGATGGTAAGTGGCTGCTGCGGCCTATAGACAGCTACATCTATCTTCGATTACGAATGCAGATGCGTTGTCACCCATGAGGACCATAGATAAATATATATGTAGCAAGCTACAGATACGACAGTGACTTTTAGTCAAGTTTCCCAACTACGCCTTTTGGTGCTGCAGTCGCCCATTTTGACAGATGAGTAATAAAATAAATAAATAAAAAAATATATAGCTTAGAGATTGCAAGCACACATCCTTCAAATAATCGATATCGATATTTAGTGATGTTCTTATTTTATCGATATCAACGTAACGACGCATTATATAGTTGTATTAAAATATTACTTAATGAAACAATTTTGGTACATAAACATTTATTTTTTATTCAAGCACACCAATATCATATACATACACACGTAATCTTAGGATTAAAGTAAAGGTACATTGGGTTATATTAAAAATGTACATAACATTGTATATAGGCAGAATTTGACGAAAACAGAGCAATATTTATTGTTCATTAGATAAAGCAAATAGCAAGTTAAAGAAATTAAACCACAGGAATCATATTTAATCATAGTGTAAGTAATATTTTATTTTACAAGTTACTTTTTATATTAATTTTAAAACAGCTACAATTCAAATGGTTATGAATTGAGTACCTTCCCTGTATAAGATAAAGAACTTTTCGCTAGGGTATGCCAAATTATTATTTGGTATATATAACATTTGTTTGTTAGGCAAGACAAACATTTTTTCTAAGTTTGTAGTGTTTGGAGCTTTGTTTCATTAGTAGACATCCTATTAATTTTTCATTTAGGGTAAACCTGGCCATTTTTTTAATTACATTAATAATAAAGTTATTTGTTTAACATTCAACTTCTCTATATTTTGACAGAGATTGGACATTAAGCAAGCATTTGTGAGGCTTAGTCACCTAAAGATTCAGTTACAATCTTTGTCAAAATTTCAATATTTAAATTTTTGATGAATATCACCCTTCAATATTTTATTATTGCCAATTTTATATACCAATTGTGCCTGGGTAACCTTATTAAAATATTGATGAAAGTTTTTTTACAATTAAGGCATGCTTATTATATCCTAGCCAGGAAAAACTCAAAGTGCTCAATATTTTACTTTTAACATTACTTCCGATACAGCTATAATTGAAATACTTATGAATAAAGTGAGTATCATCCCTGTACAAGATAAGTAATTTTTCGTTAGGGTATGCCAAATTATTATTTTTCAACAATTTATGCTCTAGATTTTATGTAAGAGTGAATATTTGTCTCTGTACTGCTGTTATGATGCAATCCTTACAAGGAATACCTTTCGATATTTTCCGACAAATGTATCCAGCAGTATAAGCTGAGCAGTGGTATTCAATTTTTTCCATTAGTGATTTAATAAATCTTGAATATTTCAATAACCTTAAAATAAGGAAAGTGAAATAAAATATACTGTGAAAAATTTATAAATGTAAAAAGTGTTGTGATCAGACGATGTCAATTACATCATTATTTATTAAAACAAAACTAAAAATTTAACCATATTCAAGCGGCATCTTTGAAAATTTGTACTTTTTTGCAAGCTTTGTTCTAGTGATATTTTTATAACGATACATTTTCATAGCAAACATCTATATAATTTTTTGTCTTTCCATAGTTACAGACACAATTTTATTAAGTGACTGCCACTTTATACTATGTAGTTATAATTAAAAATGGCTGGTGAAATAATCACAAAGTGATGCAATGTTTTTTATTCAAAATGTATGGTTCAATACTTCATTACTGGAGTCCACTTGATACCTACTTAGAAATCACAACTTTCAGCAGCCGAAACTTAAGTACCATGATAAGTAATAAAATTACTCGCCTGTTGCAGTCAGAGGCACGCCATGAGCTATTTAATCGTTAGTAAGCAGGCATGGATACGAGTACCTATCGAAGTTTTCTGCCTAGTCAAGAAACGTTCTTTGGGAAGTTCAATGATCTGGGAATTTGTGGATACTATGAAATACATCCACAAGTGTCTTAAATTATCGTTTTTAGGGAATCTGCACCAACACAGCACTTTTCGTATTCCGTTAAGATAGTATACAATTATGCACACGACCAGCACAAAACAGAATATTGTTATTTTCACAAATAACGGAGGAAACTTTGCGTCCAAGATCTCAATGCAACATAAATGCGAGGAAATACACTTGCGCTAAACTCATAACTCAGGCTACAATACAATTAGATAAATAATGGCGGCAATCAATATCGATAATTTTGTCAATTTGATTTGACATTAACACAATATGGCGTTTTAAAATGGCGTCCGTAGCCAGAGAACAAATTGCGACGGTAGCGCCAAGTTGCGTAGAATGGAACTAAGCTGTCACGGGCCTGGTGATGACTAAGATGGAATGCCTCGTTTCCAGTAAAAAGGGTCTCCTGTTCTGTACACTCAACATCGATACGAAACACAGCAGCATTAATCTGTATGTGATAATCTATAATTTTTGTGCGTGAGCTGATTACGAAATTTCTCTTGAGGTTATTTATCATTAAATTTTTCAAGTCATAATTTTATTGTTTCCTTGGATTCAATTGGAAAGACATATCCAGTTCACTGTTTCCCTCGGTCTGTTGGTTTTTCAATGGCACAGTTTGATCTTGTTGTGATATGACAATTTGTTTTAATGTCTGTTTAGTATCGCAAATAGTATTACTATTTGGTTGAATAATTATGTCCTCTGCTTCTTTAAAAGGTGGCGATCGCGTAGATGTAGTCGATTGAGAGTCGGAAGGTTGACTGCACAGGTAGTCAGATTGATTTATGCTTGTTATTATAGATGTTGGGCTTGGCGATGAGGGCTCCATGTTAGGTCGGGCAACAACTTGTGGGTTGATTGAACCTGAAACAACATTAAATTATCGAATATGGTTAAACATGCAAGACAAAATAGTTTTAATTATATATTGAAAATTTAAAGAATGTTTTACATCTATTTATTCATTTATTTATTTAAACTTTTATGCGCAAAAGAAAAATAGTACATATGGCGGACTTAATGCCTTAATTAAAGTAAGGTAAAGTTCGGATAAACCAGAATATATATATATATCTGTGCCATGATAAATGAGGAAAATGTGACGGTAGAATCATTCAAACTTGCAATGCTTTACTAAGATGTTCACGAACTTGTTGGAAGCGTTTTTAATGTCAAGAGGTATTTCGTTCCAGTCTTGTAGCCGTTAGAGCGAAAGAGTGGGACATATAACCAGTACGTAGTAAAGGTGTTAGCAACTTTAGATTATCCGAAGAACGGAGAAAACACTTACGAGTATCTCCTAGGTACTGAAATCTAGATTTCAAGTACTCAGGAGCACAAGGATCATTTACGATAGTGAAAAGAGTGCAGAGTATTCTAACATATCTGCACTGACGTAAAGACAGACAATTAAGCTGAGTACATAAAGATGATACATGGTCATATTTACGAAGACCATACATGTATCTGATGCAGTTATTGAAGAGACGATCCAATGTGTTAAGATACTGTTGAGATAAGTCTGTGCAACACACATCTACATAGTCTATTATCGGCAGAATAAACGCGCGCTGACAACAGTCGAGCGCTAGCGCAGCGTTCAACGCACGCTTTATTAAATCGCCTGTTAGCATGTGTACGGCCTGAATAAAACTTATGTAACTGTAAACGCGCGTTGAGCGCTTGTCATCTGAACATACACTAAGGCTAAGCGTCCACTAGGCTCGCCGAGCCGAGTCGAATCGAATCGCAGAAAGTCGCCTTCTACATATTTACTATAAAACTGCGTTCATTAGGGACGAGCCGCAGCGCGCCGAATTGAATCGACTGCGCGATTTGCTTGACAGGCGAATTTCTTCGCCGATGCGATTCGGTCCAACTCGGCGCGCCTCAATCGACGCGGAGAAGTGGATGCGCGCCAGCGTATTTTAATTAATTTCTATTTTGTTTTTATAAAAATCTTTATGTTTAAATAAAAATGAATGAAGAACTATTGATATCTCAGGTGCAACAATATCCAGAATTGTTTAATCATGAAGACCCACATTGTCACGATGTAAATAAAAACATCTCTTCATTCGAGCTGTCCATGACGCAAAAACGACTTATTTTGATGAAGAATTTGCGATGAATGAACAATTTGATTCGATTCGTCAGAGATGGACGCACTAGGAATAAAACTCGCTTTGATTCGGCGCATTTCTGCTGTAGTCGACGCCAGGCTTAAGAGATTGAACAAGCAAAACTTTTGTAGTGGTAGGAAGAAAATTTTTCATGCGATAAAGAGATCGCAATGTTGCAGTAACTTTGCGGCTTACCTCCTGGATCTGCTACGTACAGACAGAGATTCTTAACACGTGGAGAGTAACATAGCATTGTTCATACATCAAGAGAAAAGTTTAAACCAGTGGCGTAGCGTGCCTTAGATGGGCCCTGTATCAAAATTTGTTGGGGGGCCCCAATGAAGAGTAAAGATTTCATAAAAGGAACAAAAACGCTTGCATTGAATTCAAATTATTATATATTGATTTTAAGTTATTCATCATCATCATTACAGTCCTTCACAAGTCCACTGCTGAACATAGGCCTTCCCCAAGGAATGCTACAAAGCACGGTCCTGAGCCGCCTGCATCCATCGACTTCCTGCATATCTTACTCCATATAGTGGGGGGACGCCCTACACTTCGTCCGCCGGTACGTGGCCACCACTCGAGAACCTTTTTTCCCCATCGGTTGTCGGTTCTTCGAGCTATATGGCCGGCCCATTGCCACTTCAGCTTACTAATCCTTTGGGCTATGTCGATCACTCTGGTTCTACTGCAGATATCCTCATTTCTAAGTTTATCACGCAGAGAAACTCCGAGCCATCTCTATAGCTCGTTGAGCGACCTTGAGCTTCCTCATCCGGCCAGCAGTGAAGGCACACGTCACAGTACCATAGGTCATCACTGGAACACGCACTGGTTGTACAGTCTCGTTTTCAAGTTTTGAGGTATACCTGACGAGAAGATGTGCCGTAATTTCCCGAATGCTGCCCAGCCAAGTTGAATCCGTCGATTGACCTCTCAGTCGAAGTTGGACTTACCTAGTCGGACTATTTGTCCCAGGTAAACATACTCGTCAACAACTTCGAGCTTAGTGCTCCCAACAAATACCGGCATAGGTGTGACGTGGACATTAAACATGATCTTTGTTTTGTCCATGTTCATCTTAAGACCTAGCATAGTGCTTAGATCCTCCAGCTATTCTGCCATAAGGACTATATCGTCGGCAAATCGAAGGTGAGTGATGTACTCGTCATTGATGGTAATACCGTATACTTTCCAGTCCAAAAGCTTGAAAACATCTTCCAATGCAGCGGTGAAGATTTTCGGGGATATAACGTCACCCTGTCTTACACCTCTCTCCAATTGGATAGCTTTCGTACTCTGGTTCTGTACTCGGATAGCCATCGTAGCCCTACTGTACAAGCACTTCAGCACTTCGATATACCGACAGTCAACTTGGCATCGCTGAAGGGACTGCAGCACCGCCCAAATTTCGACGTAATCAAAGGCTTTTTCATAGTTCACATATGCCCGACATAGTGGCAAATTGTACTCCTCTGATTTCTCTACAGTTTGCCGAAGGGTGTGTATGTGGTCTATGGTGCTAAAGCCTTTTCGGAAACCGGCTTGTTCCGGAGGCTGGAAGTCGTCAATTCTGCGCGCGAGACGATTCGTAATGACTCTCGAAAACAGCACGTAGACGCGGCTCATAAAGGAAATCGGTCTGTAATTCTTCAAGAGAGCGTTGTCACCTTTCTTGAAGAACAAGACCACCGCACTTCTCCACGCCTCCGGTGTAATGCCACCATGGAGAACTTCAAATACCGGTTTTCCACCCGCTTTCAGAAGCTCCGCTGTAATTCCATCCTCGCCATTCTAATCTCGCTCAGACTGACGTCCGGTATATCATCGGAATAGTGTCGGATAAAACTCGCTCTTGGATTGTTACTCACACTTATTACGTGTGGCTCCAGGGATGATATGTACAGCTACCCATAGAACCTCTCAATCTCACTCAAAATCTCAGGTGTCCCGGAAACGACGCTGCCACACTTGGTCTTCAGCTTTGACAGTTGGCTCTTTCTGGCAGACAGATCTCTAGCAAAGACTTCTGAGTCGTGGTTTAATACGAAAAGTATTAAAGTTGCGTAAGTCCCACCGCATGCATTTGGAGATCTGTCTGTTCAGTTGCCTGTATACTGTCAAATCCACTGAAGACTGCAGCTTCATATCCCGTCTAACAGCCATGAGATCAAGAGTGTAATCGGAGATTTTTTGTGTTCTTCTGCGGCGGGTCTTGCAAAACTTAGCTCCGACCGCATGGACAGTTTCCACGAGCTTGTCATTCATATCGTCCACTGCATTGCAATCTTCTAGGCACTGAAAACTGTTTCGTAGCTCGAACTGAAAGGTTTCGGGACTTTGGATTAGAGCACGAGGGGGACGGAGCGTTGACTTCATTAGACGTGACCTCTCCAACTCAACGGTTAGGTTCAGTGTGCCTCTCACCATTCGGTGTTCGCTACCGGTTTTCACCCTCGTGATCACTGAGACATCACTGAACAGTTGTCGTCTGGTCGTCATAATGAAGTCAATCTCATTTTTTGTCGAACCGTCAGGGCTCGACCAGGTCCACTTCCTATGGGACCGCTTCTAGAAGAATGACTTCATCATAAAGAGTCCCTTTTTCTCCATGAAGTCGGCCAGCTGCTGGCCCCTTGGGTTCCGTTGCCCTATTCCGGAAATTCCCTACTTTCAGCTCACCGTTCTCTCTTGTGCCTAGTTTTGCGTTGAAGTCTCCCATTAACACCGTATAGTAGGTTTTGGAGGAATGCATGGCTCTAGAGATATCCTCATACATTTCCTCAACCTCCTCATCGGGGTGTTCCGAGGTTGGTGCGTAAACCCGTATGACCTTCAGCGAATACCGTTTGGTGATTCTGAGTATAAGGTACGCAACCCTCGTCGACACACTCCCAATATTTACAACGTTGTTAACAAGAGACTTGTGGACACCTCCTTGAGATAGTCGCCCTCCTGGTGATAGAACAATTTGCCGGATTCGAGGATTACCGTGTCATCCCCCTCTCTTCGGACTTCGTATAATCCTATGACATTCCAGCGCAACTTGTCTATCTCTTCTTCCAGCTCCACGATCTTCTCGTCAGTCCTCAGGGTGCGTGCGTTATTAGTTGCCAGGCCGAGTCGTCGTAGGTGGCAATAGAACCTCCACCGGAGATTCTTAGCACCTCCTGCCCCGCCGTTACCATGGTTGCCACTAGACTGGGGGCCATCTCTTCGTTACTTTCATGGGGGGTATATTGCCATAGTTGCCACGCTTGGTGAGCGGGTTGGCAACCGCAGTTTTTTTATTGTTGTTTTGCTGTTATCAGAAAGATGCTGCTGCCCATCCTCTACCTCAGTTTCCCTCTGTCGCCTTTTACGACACCCACGGGAAGATATAGGGTAGTGAGTGTTCTCCACTGCCACCCGTGCCACTACACGGGTTTTTGAGTTATTACTTACAATTAATACTCCTAGGAACTAAGCTAGCCAAACAATTCAAATCAAATATACACTTTTCGTGCCTTTTGTTCGGCGAACACAGCTGAAGAAGATTCGGCTGCATTCATAGCTGAAGACGATTTCAGTTTTACTAAATTCTTTACTTCTATAGACAATAGTGATAGCCTTTCTTGTCCCATAGAAGTCCTTGGAATTTTTGCTTACACACGTTTGGGGCCCCTGTAGCCCGGGGGCCCCGTATCATTGATACGGCTGATACGGCGGTAGCAATGCCCCTGGTTTAAACCACCTTTAAGTAAGAGATTTAGGAAAGTTAAAGTTTCTACGGAAAACTAGTGCAGAAAGCCAAAATTTATTTATAATATGTGTTACAAATACATAAACAATGAACATTTTATTTTATGTTCATATTGCAAATGTCAAACTCATTTTAGTCTGTGTTTAAACAGTCGCATAGCGTGAAGTTGTCGCCAAAGAATTCTAAAAAGTTGCCAACAAATAATTACTGACAGACTGACTGAATGAGCTGTAAATTTTTAGTGATTGCTAATATACTGCACTGAATCAGGGCCTTATATTAAGGGTGGGCGTTGCTCCTAATTAAAGACGTCAGAAATTACACTGCACTGATTTTACGTCCTTACTTAAAGAGCGAATTTTGGAGCGGCTGGACGTCATGCCACTTTTTTTTTAAAAATAGAATACGGGTGACAAGCGAGCACACAGTTCACCAGTAAGCGGATGCTGTAGCCCATAGATTTATCCTCGATTAAGAATCAAAATGAGACACGTTGTGACCTTAGGATTAAGACAGAATGCCTCGTTTTCAGTAAAAACGTCCGCAGTTTCTACAGTTACCATACGAAACACAGCAACATGAAGCTGCAATTTTACGTTGGTATTCTGTGAGAGCGTGGTCCTATCTTGGTCAGGCCGACTCATTCGTATTATACAACCATAATATAGCTGCAGTGTGATTCTACCACGTAAAATATATTATCCAAACAAAAAAGTCGCTATTGCTATGGCTGTCACACATGTACACTTTAAAAACTTAACTTCTTATGTCATCATTCATATAGTCCTTGTGGTCCTTCTTCCACAAATAAGGTGTACAAATCTATTACAGACTACAGCAATCCTCTTTCTTTGTTATATATGGATGCGCGCCAAAACAGAAATACGAAAACAAAACACACGATATCTCTCCGCGGTCGTCGCACGTCGTAAGTGCCCTATCTGACCTAAGTATTACTACACTGCACGATGGTAAGCGCACTAAAGGGAGTAAGGCGGACCGGGTCCACTCTGACGCCCTAATCAGGGACCCTTACTGCCTTACTCTTATTACACCTCTCTTTATTTAGAGCTTAGGGACCTTGATTCATTGTAGTGTAATAGGGGCATAATGTTCCTTTTTTCAATAGTCTGGTAGTCTGGTAATGTATGTTTACGTCATAGAGCCATGCTGTAGCTATATTAGTAGTATAGTTGTAGCACGAATAAGTCGGCTCGACCGGGGAAGGACCACACTCTCATAGGATACCAGCGTAAAATAGCAGCTTAATACTGCTGTGTTTCGTATAGTGAGTGTAGAGAACCGGAGACCCTGTTTACTGGTAAAGAGGCATTCCATCTTAGTCCTCACGGGTGACAACGTATCTGCATTTTGATTCTTTATTGAAGATAGATGTGGATGTCTATGGGTCACAGCAATCACTTACCATCAGGTGGACTGTGTTCTCGTTTGTCACCCTATCCTATAAAAAAAAAGAAAGTTTGTTTGCTATATAGAGTGTATCATTGTATGGAAGACACGCTAAACCAAACAAAGCCGACGCTTTAGGGAGTTCTTCTTTTAAGGATATCCGTTGTTTGGTTTATTCATTTTTAAACTAATATCTCTATATTATATAAAAATCAATTGCTGTCCAGTCTCGCTAAAAATCGAAAACGGATCGACCGATTTTTTTAAATTTTTTGTGTGTGAGTGATCTAAACGATTCATAATTGGATACGGTAGGTGGCGCTGTTGTCGAGATCCAGAAATAATCCATGCGAAGCCGGGAAGGATCGCTAGTTTAAATAAAATATAACTAATATTACAGAAAGAAACACTATTCCTTACATTTTCCTAACAAATTATTTTCACCGGCATGTAATCTGTCAAATGTTTCACTTCGTGGTTCATTTACCTTGTGGTTTGTATTTGGCGAGTTGCGCGTAGACCTGCTTGATACGCTCTATGTTGATCTGCGAGACTTTAGCGTGGTCGACCATGGGCAGCGGATAGTCGCGGCCGACCACGCAGCGCGCGGCGCGCTGCACCGACGCGGGCGCCGCCCACGGCTCGTGGATGTACTGCGTCGGCATGTCCTTCAGCACTGGCATGTACTTCCTGTAACACGACGATAAATCGAATTAATAAGCCGAGAAACAAATTTGGATAAGAGAATCAATCCTGTGATGAGCATTTCGTGCCGAAGTCTTTTCCTAGCTGATTACGATTTCTTGTCACTGCTACGACTGACTTGAGAAAATTCATGTATCGGTATCATGTTCATGTAATAGGGGCCTTTTCAGTTATTTATTTAAGAATTAGGATTTTTTTAGTTAACAAATATTAACTTATAATTCTCATCAGCTTAGACCTCGGAGTCACAAACGCTCTCTATTAGTTCCGTGGTTAGGCATCGATGTAATTTCACAGTACCGTCAACCCGGGTTCGAATCATGCCAGCACCAATTAAATTTTTTATTGGAATTTTAAGTGTTGATTTACCACGTGCTCACCGGTAATGGAAAAATTCGTAAGAAACCTGCTTGTCTGGAAGATTAAAGAAAAATATTTCGAGGACGAAATTCGCCAACACGCATTTGTGTTTTAGGCAGCAAGGCCGACACTTCTTTGCCTTTATTTTATCAACATCAAAAATAAGAAGAGATCTGTGCCCAGTACTTGTACGTATAAAGGCTGACTGTAACTTTTTTCATTACAAAAACGAGACAGACACTCACAATTTTTAGAAAATGTATCGTAAACCAAAACTAAGCAAACTATATGCCGTGTGATGGCGACTTAAGAGAATTCAACACCCCATTTCCCATTCCATTTCTCGTAGGTGTCATAAGAAGCTACTATGGAATATGCCAAAAAAATCTTATATCGTAAAATGACCAGAGCGGGACAGCATTTCATGCCGGCACAGCGCTTGCAACTTTACAAGGCGCAGGTTCGATCGCACATGGAATACTGTTCCCATCTCTAGGCCGGGGCTCCCCAGTGCCAGCTCCTTCCCATTTGATCGCATTCGAATCGTCGGCGACCAAGCTCTTTCTGATGTTGCATCTCTTTGCGTATTTTATCGCATCTACCACGGGGAGTGCTCAGTGGAATTGTTCGGACTAATTCCAGCCGCTCAATTTCACCATCGCACATCGCGACATAACTCGATATACCATCCGTACCACCTGGATTATTGGCGGTCCACTAATGTGCGATTTAGAAGTTTTCTTCCTTGCACAACTTCCTTGTGGAATCGAATACCACCAGCAATTTTACCATCGGGTGGACTGTGTTCAAGCCTGTCACCCTTGTCCTATAAAAAAAAATATTAAAAAAATGAAATAAATTAATTTTTTACATCGATAATATAATTGGTCCACCAATAATACTACTTTACGAGAAGTTTTCTTCCTCGCACAACTTCTTTGTGGAAACGACTAGGTATTATCAGCGATTTTTCCTGATCGTTAAGACATAGGGACCTTCAAGAAAAGAGACTACTCTTTTTTAAAAGGCCGGCAACGCATCTGCAATTCCCCTGGTGTTACATAAAAAAACACCCCGACGGGTAGCAGCACCGAAGGTGCAAATCGTTTGGTACTGCGACCGTCAATCTGCTTGGCAAACAACAATTAAGGCAAATTCTCTCTACAATGCGAAATGCTCATGTCTAGCAGTGAACTTTTACGGGCTTATGAAGAAGAAGAATGCAACTTCAAAAATTTATTCAATTATGTTATTCAATGTTATAATAGATTTAATTACTTTTGGATTATACCTACTAGGTTAGAAAACTGTAAAAATGAGTAGGTCACCTATTAAGTTAAATAAATATTTCATTTATATTTCTTTAATCTTTTGTAATCAATCTTACAACATAGAAAATTTAATTTAGTTTACAAATAAAATTCGTCAATCGACAAGCTCCTTTTAATAGATTGTTTTTGACTTATTTTTTTTGGCTTATTAGTACATTTTCGTTGGTAACACGCTAATCCATTGCTATCAGAAAGCAATAACGCACATGTGTACCGTTTCGAAAAATAACAAAAGTACTAAGTTTAAAATAGTTTTACATGGTTGAACTACTTGGCCAAATGCCCCTGTTTTTTGTTTAAGTTCTACGAAGACGAAGTTGTGGGTAAAAGCTAGTATTTTACTAAGGATGGGCGTTATGTAACCAGCTGTCAAAATGCAGTTATAAATATTCTTGGTTTTCAGATATTTATTTTAATTACTGTTTTTTACAAATTCTATGGAATGGTTTATTTTAGCATAATACATACCTAATGAAATCACCATTGGGATCTGTCTTTCGGCCAAACCCAACGGGACAATAGCAATGAAAGAATTGCTGGAAGAAGGAGGAGCAGGACAGCCACATCCACATGCCTGCGTTGACTGACCAGTCAGCGTCCAGTAACAATTCGTCAAATACCTGGCCACCAAATTCCTAATTAATCGTAAAGCCTATTAAAAGAAAATTACTCAAGCAGCAAGCACGCAATATATATTTAGGTTCTTGTTTATATTAAATCCGGTTTAAGCGGTTTATATTAACATTGTATCATTCATTTATCGATTTTAAATACATTTTAGTGTAGTTACACCATGTATGTACTATAACAAACAGGACTTAACACTCAAAATCGGATTCAAAAAACGTGTCATACGTAAATAAATCTTATTAGTTACAGTTAAGGTTCATTAAATTCATGGGCGCACGAAGGCGGCACTGAAAATTTCGAGAATCAAGGAAGTGTTAAAAATGTACTAAGTTTATTGTTTTATTTATTGATTTTCGAAGTATTCTCCGCGATATTTGACACATTTTTCCATACGATGGAACCAATAATTGAAGCAACCATTCCATTCGGAAGTTGGGGTCTCCAAAATGGCCGTTTTGTAGGCGTCCACAGCTTCTTCGGGTGACGAAAATCTCTGTCCACGCAATTTATTCTTTATTTTAGGGAAAGTATAGAAATCATTAGGGCTTAGGTCGGGGCTGTACGGCGGATGGTCTAATAATTCTATGTTTTCTTGCTCTAAAAACTCTTTTGTTCTGTGTGCGGTGTGAGAACTCGCATTGTCGTGATGGAGGATGATGCGGCGGTTGCAGTTCTCTTTACGGAGTTCAGAAACGACCTGTGGCAAACAAATGCTAGCATACAATTCTGCATTAACCGTTCTTTATCCCTCAAGAGGAATAGTCGTAACATGGCCGGTTTTGGAGACAAACGTGGCCACCATTTTTTTTGCAACACTCCGTGAACGAACAATTTTTGTTGGCTTTAACTCATTTTCGAACACCCAAACTCGTGACTGATTTTTTGTTTCGGGTTCATACGCATATATCCAGGATTCGTCACCTGATACGATGTTGTATACAGCATTTGAGGATCCTGCGTGGAATCTTTCGAGAGTTCTGACGCACCAAGTAACGCGAGCCGCTTTTTGCTCTTCACAGAGCGAATGCGGTATCCATCGGGAAAACAACTTTTTTACACCTAATTGTTCATGCAAGATTATTTGTATTTGACTCATGCCAATGTCTAAAGTTGCCTGAATTTCGCGGTATGCCGGTATGTCACATGTCGATCTTCCTCAATCAGCTTACGCACAGCATCAACGTTTTCTTGGGTGACTGCAGTTTTTGGACAACCTTGACGGGGATCATCACTGAGCTTGACACGTCCACGTTGAAATTCAGCAAACCAGCGATAAATTGTGGTTTTGGATGGGGCTTCATCACCAAATGCAGAAATCATCCGGTCAAGTTATAAATATTCTTGGTTTTATAATAACACACTGTTTTTGTGTAATCCACTTCGAAAGTCATAATAAATCATCGCTCTTGAATTTTCTCGAGTCAATTCCATTTTCTCAACGACTAAGCAAGTTTGATAAAACCTTGTGGCAAGACCGAGAATCTTTTTTTAAATAAATAAATGGTATTCGATTTTTAAAACCAAGGAGTTTTCAATTAAAAAGATTTTAATATGACAGGAACAGTGGAAATATTCCATTCCCGATACTTTTAGTGCAGCCCTCGTATCTAGTTGCTTGCCAACTACAGGCATCCCTTTTAACATAAAAACATGATAGTAGCTGGCATGTGCAAGGTACTCCTGCATTTACTACACTGTACGCACGTGTATTCCTGCCTTCACTTAATTTTTTTTTAAATAATCCATTATTAACTGCCAGCTCATCCGGTACCTTGAGGATTACCAGCTGATTAGTGACCGCCAATACGGTTTTCGTCGGGGTCGATCAGCTGGTGATCTTCTGGTCTACCTGACCCATAGATGGGCGGAGGCAGTAGAGTCCAAGGGGAAGGCGTTGGAGGTTAGTCTGGACATTGCGAAGGCCTTCGATCGGGTTTGGCACAAAGCGCTTCTTTCGAAGCTCCCTTCCTATGGGCTTCCCGAGAAATTGTGCAATTGGATCACCAGCTTCCTTGCAGATCTGAGCATCAAGGTCGTTGTAGACGGTGCATGTTCTGACTACAAGCCTATTAACGCTGGTGTTCCACAAGGCTGTGTGCTATCACCAACGCTGTTTCTTCTGCATATCAATGATATGTTGCTAACTGGTAACATTCATTGCTATGCGGATGACAGCACTGGTGATGCTCTATACACCGGCCGTGCCAATATTTCTCGGGAAAACGTCGCCGAGTACCGGAACAAACTTGTGTCTGAAGTCGAGTCTTTGCTGAACAAAGTCTCGGATTGGGGGCGACTAAATCTAGTCCAGTTTAATCCTCAGAAGACACAAGTTTGCGCGTTAACCGCTTAAAAGAACCCCTTTGTCGTATCTCCTCAGTTTCAAGGCACTCCCCTTCTTGCCTCAGCCAGTATCGGTATCCTCGGAGTCGACATATCGAGTGACGTGCAGTTTCGTGGTCACTTCGAAGGGAAGGCCAAATTGGCCTCTAAAAAGCTTGGCGTGCTCAGCAGAGCGGGACAGTATTTCATGCCGGCACACCGCCTGCAACTTTACAATGCGCAGGTTCGGCCTCACATGGAATACTGTTCCCATCTCTGGGCAGGGGCTCCCCAGTGCCAGCTCCTTCCACTTGACCGCATCCAGCGCAGAGCGGCTCGAATCGTCGACGACCGAGCCCTTTCCGATCGGCTCGATTCATTGGCACTGCGAAGAGATGTTGCATCCCTTTGCATTTTCTTTCGCATCTACCATGGGGAGTGCTCTGAGGAATTGTTCGGATTAATCCCAGCCGCCAAATTTCACGAACGCACATCGCGGCAGAACTCCCGATACCATCCACACCATCTGGATGATTGGCGGTCCACCACTGTGCGATTTAGAAGATGTTTTCTTCCTCGCACGACCTCCTTGTGGAATCGATTACCATCAGCGATTTTTCCGGACCGATACGACTTAGGGACCTTCAAGAAAAGAGCGTACTCCTTTTTAAAAGGCCGGCAACGCATCTGCGATTCCCCTGGTGTTGCAGTTGTTCATGGGCGGCGGTAGTCACTTACCATCAGGTGAGCCGCATGCTCGTTTGCCCCCTCTCCTATAAAAAAAATAATACAATTTAGAACAGAACTCTGTTAAACAAATATTATGGAACACTACAAAGTCTAATCTATACATATAATAAATCTGTAGAAAAGTCGTGTCTGTAATTCTAATATATTCTTGAAAAAATAACTCCAGGGGACTAAATAAAGGGTTCTGAAGCTAAATTAGTGGTTTTTAGAATTTTTGTCTGTCTGTCTGTGTATTCCGGATTCACGCCAAAACTACTGAACCGATTAACATGAAATTTTGTATATAGGTAGTGAGTAACCCGGGGCAACTTATAGGCTACTTTTTATCCGTTTACGGAACTTCAAGAAAGGAAGGTTATGTATTCTATTTCCTTTAGATGTTAATTTAGCTATTATATCTTAGTTATAGGCGGGATGACGGGTGTTTTCCAAATAAAAACCATATTTGTAAATAAATTTTAACATATAGTTATAATCGTGGTAAAATAATTTAAAACTACACCGATTTGGTATTCAAAACAGCGCCATCTATCATCAAATGGAAAAAGTAGTATATTTTGCTTTCAGTTACTAATAAATGAAATAATATAAATAACTTACATTTATATGATTAAAAGATTAGATTTATTAAAAAACTCTACGTTTAGTTTTTTTGTTATTTTATTTTAAAAGTGTTATTTCAATAGATAATGGTGACGTATATCAAAAATATGAAAATTGATAAGGTATTTATTTCAGTTACTAATATATATGTAAAGTGATTAAAACCGGTCTGTCTGCAATTGTTGCAAAATTTTCATTATCATTATAGTTTTATTAAACAGATTTTTATGTAGGTCGTGGCCAGATCGTAGAATTGATCATATATCATAAAGTAGTCTATCATTTCGTGAAATGGTGTGGTCATTTCATGATATTTAACACTATTTGTTGACACTATAGCTTGACTTAAATCAATGAGTAGAAATCGTTTGTATATTAATAACTAAACACAATGTTGCTATTTCATAATATGGGCATATGATGATATCATTAAATCGTTTTTCACCGCTACCGGCGCTGATAGCGCATTTTTTAACAGAAATTTTAAGAGAATTGACATCACTTTATTCCTTATTGATATAATAAATAAATGTTCGCTTCTATTGCTGATATTACTAGATGGTATAGTTTTGGCTTTCATTATTTCATCTAATATTAGCGCCACCTACTTACTTCTAAATAAACTAAAATGGGAAGTCATTGATAATATGAAATAATACAATGCTACTGAATAAACGATGTAAATAATTGAATCATTTACATTACATTCATCCCGCGTTGGAATCAGCGCAGTGAACACTTTTTTGGCCTAAAACTCTGCGGCCTGTGCCCAGTAGTAACATGTATGTAAGCTGCTGCTTTTTTACTTTTCATGGGGCAATATATGCAGTTTTTATTTCATTCGTGTTTTAGGGGATGTTACTTTTTGTTTTTACTCTGCCGTAAATATTAAGGGTTGAGATGAAGATGAGTAGACCTCATTATCGTCAGCCTATCAAAAGTCCACTGAAATTAATATAGGCCTCCCCCATTAATTGTCAAGTAGATGGATATTTGCTAAAGTTGCCACGCTTGGCAGGCGGGTTGGCAACCACAGCTGTTATTATTTTGATCTGTTGTCAAGAAGATGATGCAGCCCATCCCATCTTCAGTTTGTTTTCCTATGTCGCCTCTTACGACGGGACGATATGAGGTGGTGGATTTTATTTCACCGCCACAACAGGGCGAACATTTTTCTACTCCTGTTCATGGGTGTAGTGCTCCTCACGTTCACTGTGAATAAAATGTATATAAGGAATAAAACTAATTTTAAGGAATTTATTGCGTTTAATTTTAACTTTTCAAATCCCGATGTTTTGGGCACTTTACAGCAACCATGGTTACGGGAGGGACTGGAGAACTGAGGTGTTTGACGACCTGATGTCATCGTTAAAATAGAATAGAATAAATGCAGTAGTAGTTTGAATTTAATTTTATTAATTATGGGGTCCTTACCAGATGGTAGCACGCAACCATCTTCCCTATTAAAATTAGGATATTTTTAATTTCAATAACCTCGCGAATCATCATTGGTAGGATTCGGTGTTCTATTGCAAGGATTTGTTGCCTATCAGATCCGATATAATGGTTGGGACGATACTAAACATGTTGACATACTTTAGACTTCCCGGAGCTTCGGTGCTTCACATCAACGATATGTTCTTGTACTCGGAACTTACATCCAAGATGCGTAAAAAAAACCCGTAACATTAGTTTTAATCCATGTGCAGTATTCATTATTATAGAACTGTATTTATGATGTTTTCAAGTCTACTCCAAGTAAAAAAAATCTACATCTATTTTATGGTGCCAGTCAATATTAAATAGGACCAATGATATGAATGTCTCAAATAAATAATATATTACTTTGTTAAAACTAAATTAAAGTTAATTAGTTAGTTAGTTTAAAAAACTATGAATAATTTGTAAAGAGTAAAATGTAAATAATAATAATACATTTTGATTTCAAGACTATTTACCTTTCTTATAGATACATCGAAATTGGAAGACACGCCCGATATAAAAATAGAAGGTGTTTCTAGACATATGTATATATTCACGTGTTTCTGTAGCATGTTACCAATTAATATACGTCTAATATTTTAGAATGAAAAAAAATATTTGACAGACATAGAGACATAGACATCGAGGTGACTAAAAGTGATCGAATTTTTCTAAATTTGGCACGGAACAGCATTTAATGATGTTCCTAAATTCAAGCACACGCGAGTGAAGCCGCGGGTAAAAAGCTAGTGTTAAATAAAGTGATATTTTTAACATTAGATTACATTTTGTATTAACTGGACACAAATAACTCATCTTTCAAAACGATCTTTCACAGAGATAAACGGTCTCGGTATTACACATCCCTATCAACTCCTTTCTTTTTGTTAGAGTACTCAGTATTGTTTGCATAGAACGTCCATAAGTTACACAGCTGATAATTTCGTAAGACTTAAAGCATTGACGATTGACAGTTTCGAAACTAGAGATAGTTTGCACACACGCACGAACGCACAGATGCACGCATGTACGAACGCACACACGCACGCACGCACAAACGCACACACATACACACACGCACTACTTGCCCACGAGTAAAGTATGAAAATATCTTATATTGATTTAATCATTATCAAATAATATACATACATTATACATTTTTCCAGTTGGTCAATGTAATTTACATCTAGCGTAAACGAGATGGTTATTCCGCCATTTGTCAGAAGACTATTTTTCACTGTTGCCTCTGGCGTTGTACGCCTGCGGAACGAAATGAGGTGATATATTTGTGTATGCCGCCACCACGACCATAAGTATAAAAATAAAATAATTAATCTTAATAAAATTTAAGTGAACAAAATCCTACTAAATAACATGACATTAAAGTATAAATTATCGCGTTATTTTAGCGGGTGTCATGAGAGTTAACTAAGTCAAATACAAAGATCTTGTGATTGTAGTCTCCGTAAAGGCAGAATAACTAATCTCATAAAACCCAAAATATAATATACTCAGCGACTGTATAATGTTTAGTCTGATCCACATTATTGGTCACCCTGGTGTTATATACAATTTATTTTAATATAATAAGTGTGACAAACGAGCACAGTCCACCTGATGGTAAGTGGATGCCGCCGCCCATAGACATCTACATTTATCCTCAACTAACCAACCCGTGAGGACTAAGGTGGAATGCCTCGTTTCCAGTAAAAAGAGTCATGTTTCAAGTTTAAATATTAATCTCTATTTCCACCACACGAATCGATCGATTCCATTGATCGACGTCTATCGATGTGGATCAATAATTGGTGTGGTAGCTTTACTGGTCGGAAAATGTTGTTGAATCATCGATCGACAATTAATCGATGTGGTTGTGGACTCATAATTAGTATCTTTCAAATGACTAATCCATTCTACCATCGATAGATCGGTATGGTAGAAACTATGCATCGACGTCGTCTAATCCATTCCACCATCGATCGATGCCATCGATTGACGATCGATCGATTGGTGTGGTAACAACCTTAGATAATCCAAATAATAAATACTAAAACAACATAAAAATTACACAATAAAAGTGAATACTTTACGAAACATGTCTACACTGGCAGTTACATATGTAGTCGATACTTGCCTTCATGCCTTCCTCCCAGGATATCCATAGGTCGCCCCTAGTAAGGAAACAAGCAACTGCATGTCGTGCTAGATGATGGATCCATCCTTCTTCTCTCAATTGCACCATAATAGAATCTATCCAAGGAAAGCCAGTTTGAGCCTGCAACAAATATTTTCGTGTTTTATGATGTGAAACGCATTGGGGCAGCGCGGTGGACACTAATTCTTTGACCAAAACCGATCTCAGAAATGAGAGGAGGCCTGTGCCTAGCAGTGTGACGTATATAGGCTGTAACTTTAACTAACTATTAATGTGTGCATATATGTGACGAAAAAAAGAAATCGAAATAGAGAAGAAGAACGCATCAACTGTGCGCTTAACCTACAGGGTTGTGTATTGTTTACACACACAACAGTTTAAGTGTGCTGTTATATTAATTAATTTATATGTGTAAACTATATTTATAAATGTATTTACTGTTGATAATAAGAATCTGAAAAAAGTGCTAATAAAAAATGCAAATGAGTAATAATGAATCATTATTAAAATAAATATTTCAGTATATAACTTTTTTAAATTTGATGTTTATTTCTGTCACTGCTCAAGTGATATAATAGGTCGGGAAAAAAGTTTCTTTGTATTTTATAGTTTGATTCAAATAATCGAACCTGTACCTACATAATGTACAAGTTAGATATAGTTTTCTTGGTTTACCTTTGACGGCTAATTTCCGTATCATCCTTTTTTGTTTCAAATAATAAAAAAGGCAAGTGGACGAAGTTACGGGTACAGATAGTTCTTAATAAGGTGCATAATCACTTGTGTCTCATTATGACATAACAGGCTCGGTATTAGCTTAGGTAGAAAGTAGCAGCAGTCTTATTTGATAGTGTCTTCATGTAGTTCAAGCGGAGCAAATACTCCTGTAGGAGGTCCCTTCAGAAGTATTTGAGATTTGTTCCTGATTTGAAACTAAAATATTTTAGATTCTATTACATTTACTCACATTAGCCCACTTGGCGAAAGCTTCCTGGTTTTCCTCCCAAGGTATCTGCACGCATATCGGGTTGCCTTTCATTCGATCAAAATTTGGATTACGCGTAGCAGCACAGTAAAAAAATTCCCTCCAAAGTATTTGTCCATGCAGGGACAATGGCGGGCGCACACGTTTTACTCTTTCATATAATTCCGTAAGTTGATAATAGAATAATCTTGTTGATAAACATCCAAACCTAAAATAGAAAAATTAAATAATACACACTCAATTTTAAAAGCCCGCCATCAAAGTAGAACATTAAGAATAAATAAGTGTATTATTTAATCTGTATTATACATATATTTTGAAGATTCGCCCCTTAATGAGGATATCAGCAATAATACTAGAATAATCAGCATGGTCCAAAGGATTCGTAAATTACAGTAAGGTTCACCTTACATTCAATGAAATAAGGTTCTCGAGTAATATACTCGTAGAAGGAAGCGCAGTGTTCTATTCTATCTAATAACGTATGCAAGTCGGCAATAAATGTAGTGGCTTAGGACCTACGCAAATTCGGTAATTTACTGACTTATTATAATTATAATATATAATAAAAAATATTTGAAAATAAAGAGTCAGTTGTGGAGTTTCTGACACTGCAACATAGTCCAATCCAATCTTATGGAAAAGGCGTTGCCAAATGTAACGCATTTTTAATCGAAGACGAGCAGGTGCGCACCGATATTGGTATCGATTTTTCTTTAATTACCGACTACTGCACCTTTCACGGGCGGAAAACTGATTACAGAAAATCAATGTAAGAGCGCCGATTCAAAATTTCACAAATCGATTGGGAGCAGAATCAGCCTAGTATCAACTCAAAATATTACAAAACTGCGGTTGCCAACCTGCCTGTCAAGTGTGGCAAATATGGCAAATATCCCTGTATACAGTGTTATTTTGCAATATACGGCCAAATTTTCGGGGAAGGTTCAAAATAAGTATTATAGGCGAATGGTGAAGAAATATTAATAAAAAAAATCTCAAACATTCTGTCCTTTTTATCTTTTAAATTCAGAATGCGTGGTTAATGTATTATTTTAACTGATAGTTATTCATAAATATATAACGCCTACTATTTTACGCACGCACACATTCGTAAGGGTCGCTTGGTAAGGTACCTTGTCGCACGCCTTCACGCGCCCATTCCTTCCGCTTACCGTTACACCGCTAGGTACATACATCCGCTCGCTCGGCCGACAGCTGACAGTGTTGATCGTGACGTCATTACGTATGCTTCGTTGAAAATGACGGAACAGAAATATTCTAACCACGGATACCATGCAACTATGAATTGGTGCGATATTAAATTTTAAGCAATGAAAGTTTACGTGGTGCGCAAATATTATACAGAAGTGAGTCTGTGTCGTGGCAAGAAATTAACGTATATGTACCTACCAATCGAAGAACAATTGACAATTAATGAAACTCTTCAAGTGCAGTGAGCGATAACTTAAATAGTGAATATGAAGACAGGTGGATTGCGCACGGATGCCCTATACCATGGCCTGCAAACTCGCTGGAACTTTCACTGTTAAATATCTGTGGGGTGAAATAAAGAGCCGTGTTTACGTCGAGGGCCAAAGTTATGAAGACCGCCACAGTAAAATTATTGCTGCGTTCACAGAAGTTAAAAGTGTATATATAATTTAAGAAAACGTGCTCGTCTTGGCACGACTACGGTTCTTACGGCGCCACGATTTGAAGGCGGATTCGCATAGATTTTAACGAGATACGCCGAAAATTAAGAATAATTTTTTTCTATATACGAGTATCGCTTAGTTTCCGACATATCGATACTCAAAAATTACTTTTTTTACACAGGAATATTGACCCAAAGTTACTTTTGCAACGGCTTCGGCACTGCGAGGGTGCAGCACCTTCGCCCTTGCGTAGCAAACCGCAAGCACCCATGCTCACCTCCGCAGCTTTGGCTTATTGGCTTAATGGCTACACTGCTCGCACAGGTGCGTCCAATTTGCTAAAGCGGGCGGGGACTACTCGCCCCCCACAACTACGGATTTAAAAAAGTACTCTAGAGGTAGGACAGACAAGATTACATGGAGTAGGGGCGTGCTGATTCGGTTTAAGTATTCGACTTTTGAGTATCGAAATCTCGAAAACTAAGCGAAATATCGACAAATTTTATTTTACTTTTCGGCGTGTCTCATCGAGGTCTATCTATGCGTCTTCAAATCGTGACGCCGTAGGAACCGTAGAAGCCCACTCTTCGTGCATAGTGTGGCGGCATGGCCTTAGGGCTCTTCGACCGTTAGGCAATCTTTGGAAGCCCTCGGCTGTGCGAAAGCAACCAGCTCGGTTTTCTCCACCTCGCCAATCGATTCGATCGTACGACGCCGCGAGGCTCGCTCGTTCGCGCTCTAACCCGCTACTTTGAATTTACGTTGTGAATAAACGGTTATTTAATATGTGGTCTGTTCATTATTCACATCCTCACAAGAGAAACGGATTCCGGTTTGAGGTAAAAATATTAAGTAGTGGGACGCCTTGCGTAATTTAGTTGTAAATAGTTTATTCCAAAAAATTTTAATACGTTATTATAATGACAGTTATCGGTTACGTCGTTGAAAACCAAAAATATTTATTATGACGATCCTAATTCCGTTGAAAGTATGAAGGGAAAATTGGAATCATAATTCGCGTCATGTAGTTATTAACTTAAGCATTAGTAGTGTCACTAAGAAAGTAAACAATAGGCAAAAACTTCAGAAATGAATCACACATACAGGATAGTGCGTAGGCATAATTGTTAAAACGAAATTCCCCACACAAGGAAGGTTGCAGAGGTTAATGTGATTTTTTTTAATCCACATTTTCAAACTATAGCTCTTATAGGTGTAAAACTTAGCCAGAATATTCTTTTTGGCGTGTTAAAAATTAACAAGAACTATTTTATGAAATTTCATCCACAAAGGGCAGTGCGTTAGGGCAAGGCGTTAAAAAAATTACATTTAATCTGGCTGGATCGATTTTCACAATTGAACCCGGTAGGTGGCGCTGTTATCAAGATCCAGAAATCACCCATGCGAATCCGGGGCGGATCGCTAGTTTCAAATAAAAGTAGAAGCCTTATTTACTCGTATTTAAAAAAATATTATATCGGTATATCACTATTTACTACATATTTGAACTTAAATATAAAATTTGGTTACTCTATGAAAAATAACCCTGTATAATAGAGGGGATTAGTTTGCCCACACAGTTTAAAAGAGTTATTGCCAAGGCAAAGTCAGAGCACATAGGCAGAATTGGCGAGAAACTAGTTCGCCTTCCTTCGGGAACCTGTGCATTCTGGTCTCCCGCCAAGGCTGTCCAAGGGAATTTCTGTAAGCCATCACTACCATCTCTGCACAGGGAGGACGACTCACTGGCCCAAGACGCAAAAGACAAAGCTGACCTTTTAGGCTCCCTTTTTGCATCCAACTCGACTCTTGATGACGGGGGGAAAACACCGCCGACCATCCCGCGGTGTGAGTGTTCCATGCCGGATGTGCTGTTCTCACAGCGCTCGGTTCGCAAAGCACTTCTCTCCCTGGACATCCAGAAGTCGAGTAGGCCTGACGGAATCCCCCCAGTTGTGCTGAGGACGTGTGCTCCGGAGTTGGCACCGGTCCTAACGCGTCTTTTCCGGTACTCCTACTCCCAAGGCGTAGTCCCGAACTCATGGAAGACAGCTTTTGTCCACCCGATCCCTAAAAAAAGCGACCGCTCAGACCCGTCCAACTACAGGCCTATCGCGATCACCTCCTTGTTCTCCAAAATAATGGAATCCATTATTAATTGCCAGCTCATCCGGTACCTTGAGGATCACCAGCTGATTAGTGACCGCCAATACGGTTTTCGTCGGGGTCGATCAGCTGGTGATCTTCTGGTCTACCTGACCCATAGATGGGCGGAGGCAGTAGAGTCCAAGGGGGAGGCGTTGGCCGTTAGTCTGGACATTGCGAAGGCCTTCGATCGGGTTTGGCACAAAGCGCTTCTTTCGAAGATCCCTTCCTATGGGCTTCCCGAGAAATTGTGCAATTGGATCACCAGCTTCCTTGCAGATCGGAGCATCAAGGTCGTTGTAGACAGTGCATGTTCTGACTACAAGCCTATTAACGCTGGTGTTCCACAAGGCTGTGTGCTATCACCAACGCTGTTTCTTCTGCATATCAATGATATGTTGCTAACTGGTAACATTCATTGCTATGCGGATGACAGCACTGGTGACGCTCTATACACCGGCCGTGCCAATATTTCTCGGGAAAACGTCGCCGAGTACCGGAACAAACTTGTGTCTGAACTCGAGTCTTTGCTGAACAAAGTCTCGGATTGGGGGCGACTAAATCTAGTCCAGTTTAATCCTCAGAAGACACAAGTTTGCGCGTTAACCGCTAAAAAGAACCCCTTTGTCGTATCTCCTCAGTTTCAAGGCACTCCCCTTCTTGCCTCAGCCAGTATCGGTGTCCTCGGAGTCGACATATCGAGTGACGTGCAATTTCGTGGTCACTTGGAAGACAAGGCCAAATTGGCCTCTAAAAAGCTTGGCGCGCTCAGCAGAGCGGGATAGTATTTCATGCCGGCACACCGCCTGCAACTTTACAAGGCGCAGGTTCGGCCTCACATGGAATACTGTTCCCATCTCTGGGCAGGGGCTCCCCAGTGCCAGCTCCTTCCACTTGACCGCATCCAGCGCAGAGCGGCTCGAATCGTCGATGACCGAGCCCTTTCCGATCGGCTCGATTCATTGGCACTGCGAAGAGATGTTGGATCCCTTTGCATTTTCTTTCGCATCTACCATGGGGAGTGCTCTGAGGAATTGTTCGGATTAATCTCAGCCGCCAAATTTCACGAACGCACATCGCGGCAGAACTCCCGATACCATCCACACCATCTGGATGATTGGCGGTCCACCACTGTGCGATTTAGAAAATGTTTTCTTCCTCGCACGACTTCCTTGTGGAATCAATTACCATCAGTGATTTTTCCGGACCGATACGACTTAGGGACCTTCAAGAAAAGAGCGTACTCCGTTTTAAAAGGCCGGCAACGCATCTGCAATTCCCTCCCTGGTGTTGCAGTTGTTCATGGGCGGCGGTAGTCACTTACCATCAGGTGAGCCGCATGCTCGTTTGCCCCAAAAAAACCACCACTCCTAACCCTTAATTTGGCAAGGAAAAAAAAGTTAAAAATACCTATATTTTTGTTAATATTTATTTAGTAGTGAGTAAAATCATATGAAAAAAAAATAATTAAAAAAATATAATATACTTATTTTCGCGAAAAATCAATGTCCGCCACTACGGCCATTGCCAAATATATAAAAACTGACTTGCTGATTTAACTGTCCGGTCTGACGGACATTATCAATTTAGGGCAAAATAATAAATCCAACTATTTTAATATTTTATTAAGAATATAATAACTTATGACAAAAAAATAAATTACATAGTTAATCTTATTTGGTATGGAAATCTAAAAAAACAATTTCCGGCATTTTTTTCCAGTTACAAATCAAAGTCGCGTCTGACATTTTATGCAGTACACCACAGTTTTTTTTTTGCAGTATGTACAACGTCCTTCCTCCATGGTTTGCGGGAAATGACCTACATTGTTGTGCTTTATTGGACTGGAAGGGCGTGCTGCACGGGCCGTGTTGATTTTTGAGGCTACGCTTTGCTCCGTTTGGCGCAACAGTTTTCAGAGATGAGATTCTCATACACAGCATATCGAAAAGCTTTCAGTGCCATCTTCTTTTTACGATTGCCTTCATTCGCCTTTCTGTGAACCAACCAAGCATTGTTTGCACAAATGTCCAGTAATTGCCCAAAAATGCCCATGTACCAGCGTCGTGTTTTAAATGGCGTTTTGTACAGCTATATCAACATATCAGCTAGGTCGACTCCACGCATATGTTTGTTGTACTGTCGCACAATTTGTGGACACTGTACTACTACTGTCTTCTTCTCGTCCTTCGAATATCGCAAGATCTTTTCCATAGGCTCAGCCACAGCAGTAGAGGAATAGTTGCTGTTAGTAGAAGGACATTCATCATGCATTTCAGATTCAGAGTCTGATTTTCCACTAGCATTTGATGGAGCATGCTTGTTAGGAACTAAGGCTAATACTCTTGACGCACCTGTGTGATGTTGACAAGCAGAAAAGAAAAACAAATAAGAAAGCACCCATAACCGCAAATTAAACGAACTTTGGTGATGTCCGTCCCAGCGGACAATGTAATTTGGAACAACATTTCTAGATCTTTGGTAATGTACGCTGGGACGGACAAAGAGGTTAAGAAGCAAAAAAAAAAACCAATAGAACACACTTCATACGTTAGGAATTGCGAGTAAACATAATCACACATATATATTCTATAACCCAATGCAAAATACTTTTACTTTTGTTACACAAAACATGAAAAATATCAAATTTTTTACCTTGCTAAAAACAGATAATCGCCTCCTCGCCGACATTTAGTTTTCGAGTGACAGATACAGTTTTGCCACTCTAGAAATTCTTTTTGCACAATCTTATTTATAGAACAACAAATAATTGCCAGTAAAAGAAAAAAATTTAATCCATTTGCAAGACGCACAGGATTTTTTTGAAACTTATGTCCGTCCCAGCGGTCAAAATCAAATTAAGGGCTAAAGGAGACCTTTTGAAAGAAATGCAAGGAATGAAGGTTATGTGTTATAATGCTTAACCCCTTTCCCTGTCCTATGCATTAAATGTACGAACATTTCAATTGTGTAAGTATTGTGTCTGTTTCGCGGACAGGGAAACTGTTAATAGCATACCAGCAACACCTTACCTTAAGTACGGTGATAATCCCGTAGGGCTTGCTAATAAAGACTGCGGAGTCATTTTAGGCGTTCCGAATGACGCTACCCAAGCTTTGCGTTCTAAATGTCTTTCCAATCTTGCTAACGCCTCGCTTTCACCACCGATCCACACCGAGGGCTTCAGACCTTCCGTCTCGAATCCTTAAATTTTTTTTTAAAAAGAGTAAAGGTAAATCCTTATTATGTCCCACAGGTGGGCACACCTCGCATTTCTGAGAGGATTTTAGGACAAGAAAATGTTCACAACGCGGCCCCAATGCGTGTTGAGGATATATATTTTTTAATATCTCAAACATGCAGGTTACCTCACGATGTTTGCCTTCATCGCCAAGCACGTGATAAATCAGCACTTAAAATTGCAATTAACAATTTCATTGGTGTCAGCGGGAATCGAACCTGCATATTGTGAAATTTTCAGCACATAACTCCGGAGCTACCACGGCTTTAATTATTTAAGCGAAGATAAAGTTGTTCAACACATAAGAGAAAATAGCATAACTTTTAATATAGGAACATTTTTGTCAGTTAGCAAATCTACCAAAAGACCTCAGTTATTTTTTTATAGCGAACAGTTGATTTGGTAAAAATCAAGTCACTTAAACGTCAATGAAAGTTCTATAAATATTAATCTATTATATCCCTTTCATCTATTGTATTAGACTTAAAACTAAAAAAAAATGAATATGAAAAATTACTTTTTATTTTCATCTCTGGTATTATATTAAGTAAATTCTTATTTTCCATAATCCTATAAAAATTTGGCAAGATTTCATGAAAATTAACAAACATTTTTAAGTTTTTGTAAAATTCGCTTAAAAATTTACACTTGATTTATTTACAGACCTAATTCCTCGAGCGTAGGTACTCCGAAGCGGTCATCGTGGTCATCAGTGAGCGGAGTGGTCGCTCCGTTAAGAGTTTGCGTCGAGATCATCCCTTCAGCGGGCGGTGGCGGCGGCATACTTGCAATTATCTCTTGAAACTGATGGTACGTCAGTGGTGCTTTACCACCATTATGCTCTATAATCCTGTGAGAATCGGATATTTGGTTAGGAGCAAGAATAAGCGATGTTAACACGTAGGTATATGTAGAGACTACCTTTCTTATGATATAAATAAAATAAAAGTTCTTTAAATAATTCCTCTTGTCTTTTTTCCACATAGCATAGAATATTATTGATGAGAAAGATACTTAAAAGATTTTTGCAATGTGTGCACGACTGTATACTTGACATGTAGGTATGTAGTACTTTCAGTAAGGTTTTCACTAAGTTTTGATTGACAAATTAAGTAGTGCTTAAGTTTGAAGCATCAAACGATTCGTCCGGTTTTAGGCGGATCTTCGCGGGAAATTCTTTTCGCGTTTGACTGTTTATCAGGCTAAGCCTAATTAAAATGTCCTAATGCTGAGCACCATGCATCCCGACATAACAATAGACTCTAGTTAAAATTAACCTGACTCTGTGTTATTTTACAACAGCTTGAATTTAGAGTAGATGTAGATCAAATTTGTCGTTAATATGCTAATAAATTTTATAATTTGTTAGATTTAGTGGATATAAATGCAGGTATTGTATGAAATTATTAACAAAAGCAAAATTAAACGCAGATACTTTTTATTGCAATTGGGAAAAGAATTGGGAGAAAAGTATATAACTATTAGAAAAACAAGCATTCCTGTAGTAATTACAGAACATATATCAGAGATACAAGAAAAACGTAGAGGGTGTCAAGTATAGCCAAAATGCTCAAATAATAAATTTAGTACAGTTACAATAATTATTACTATATGAGTAATGTTGTTAGGACATCATATATCATTCCAGCTGTATAAAAAGCTTTGACAACATTTCTAAAACATTAGTGTTTACATAATCACAGATCAAAAAAATATATAATGCAACGAAATAAACATCTAAAGAAGTTACTGGAAAAAATTACAAATAAATTGTGGTGTTTGCGTATTCTGATGATTTCTCTATATAGTATAAAATAAAGTCGCTTCTATTTTATTATTATTATAATTTATTATTATCAAAAAATAGACTGGGACAATAATGTCACGACAGTGGTCCAAGGGGGGTCTACTTCAGTTTTTCTAGTGTTAAGCGTGAAGAGGTACATGCTCACGCGGTGATGAGCGACGTATTCCCACACCTCGCCCGCCTGTGCGTTCGGAATCCCGAACGCACAGGCGGTCATACGGAATCTCGAATCGGAGAAAATTCCGTACGGAAAAATACCGTACGTGTGTGGCGGGTCATAGATTTTATATGGACTTGCTGCGTTCGGGATTCCGAATCGGAATATCGAAACGGAATCCCGAAACGGAATTCCGTATGTATGTGGCCGGCCTTAAAGCGTTATGTATGTTAAGGCATCGTCAACGTTTATTGTTTATAAGTTTTATCCATACGACTAGTCTTCATATGGAATTTAAAAGTTATGGTTGTAATACAATCAGTTCAGTTCTTTACTACAAAAAATTATTGAAATTAATAAACGTACCTAATTGGGTACTCAGTACTCACACCATTATAAACACTATTTCATCGTTATCTTTGATTTTGTATAAGAAAATAGAAATGAAAAATGAAACTTCGTAACACCAATTTGATCGATAAATCGCTCAGTGCCCAGGTTCAAGGCCAGCGTTTTTACGTGACGGGACCTATAAGAGTTCGGCACCCGCGAGGATATTGACCCTATTGTCAGCTGATGTTATTTTTAAGGTTCACTGCTGGTTTTTTGTTTAAGTGTTTTCATAATTTTTTTAATGATATTATCGTTTCATTTAGCTGTACTAACATGATGGAGCGTGAATAAAGTTATTAAAACGTTGTGAAAAGATGATTTTTTTTGTTCCTCAGGATCAAATTTATTTGTGACCCATGTGCTAAGGTGTAGTACCTACTATCATCTGTCTTCGTTTTCGGGAGCGTTTCACAAATACCCGGTATACTGTGGGGGGACTTTTTTGTACATCAATTTAGGAGAAACAATTCCACCATACATAATATTTGTGTAACTCTTACAGTTTTTGCACCGCACGCCAAAATAGCTCGCAGATGACAGGTTTTTTTCGACTTACTTAACACTTATCGTTATATTATGACCAATTTACGCAATATCTTTATTAATTATAGCCTATGTGTTGTACTGATGTATGACCTATATTATTCTAAAGGTTTACTACAATACATGCAGTAGTTTTTGCGTGGAAAAGTAACAAACACCCATAAATCCTCACAAACTTTTACGTTTACAATATTAGTAGGAAGTAGGATACAGGCCTGTCATTCCTATAAGACGTAAATTATTTACCCACATTATGTTTTATTTTCGTGAATAATCAAAGTGCTCTACGTAATCAACAATACATTATACTGGCACTCACTTGTCTAATTTATAGAGTGTATGTGAAACTCTTGAGATCACGCTGATGCCGACCTCACGACATTTTGCCATAATGTTGTTGTCTCGAATTCTACCGAAAGGTTCAGGGTCCTCCTCAAATGAGAGCGCAGTTGTGCCCCATTCACGAAACAACTTTGGTAAAGCATCGGCCGGTTGACCGCGGACCACAAAAAGACGCGAATTTAGCTTGCGAAGACTACTGTCTAAATCTTCCAAACATTGTAGAAGGAACCTAAAAGAATTTTATAAATTCAATATGAACGATTTATCAAGAACACCCAACAAATAAAATTATATAACATCGTTAGAAATACATACCTCCATTTATTAATGCCAACATTAGACGAGCTAGCAAACCATGGGTCGATAATAAAAACACAACGAAACGTGACAGCATCGGTGAGTCCTTCACGCAAAGCTGGGTTGTCGTGGAGGCGTAGTCCCTTACGGAACCAGTGCACTGTGTGCTTGCCAGTGGCATGGGGTGCCGCGGTGGGCACGTGGATGGGCGCTGTTGGCCGCGCGCTGACTTCCGGCAGCATCTCGGCGGCCGCTGATATCGCTAAATCATCCACATGGCATACCTGCATGGGAATGAGCAATTTTTATGTTAACTGCATTTAATTTTAGATTTAATTTGGTGTAATAACAAATAATTTAAATTTTTCATAAAACGTGGTTTAAAAAAAAGGAACCGGAGACCCTTTTTACTAGAAAAGAGGCATTCCAACTTAGTCCTCATGGCTGACAACGCATCTGCATTTTGATTCGCAAACGAGGATAGATGTAGATGTCTATAGGCCACAGAAACCAATTACCATCGGGTGGACTGTGTTCAAGCCTGTCATCCTTGTCCTATAAAAAAAAATATTAAAAAAATGAAATAAATTTACTTTTTACATCGATAATATAATTGGTCCACCAATAATACTACTTTACGAGAAGTTTTCTTCCTCGTACAACTTCTTTGTGGAAACGACTAGGTATTATCAGCGATTTTTCCTGATCGTTAAGACTTAGGGACCTTCAAGATAAGAACCTACTCTTTTTTAAAAGGCCGGGAACGCATCTGCAATTTTCCTGGTGTTGCAATTCTTCATGGGCGGCAGTAGTCACTTATCATCAGGTGAGCCGCATGCTCGTTTGCCACCTCTCATATAAAAAAATATAATCATAGCCACTTAAGGGTGACAAATGAGTATTCACTCCAACTGATGTTTAAGTGGATTCTGTGGCCCATATTATATTACTATAAACCTATTACATTTATTCTCTAAAATGAAGATGTAAGTCATCATAAGCACAACTTTTTAAAATACAGATTTCACTTTTAATTATTTTTAATTTAATTACAATTTCTAAAAAAGATTATAATATTAGGTACTTATGTACAAAATAAAACATAATGTTTGTTAGGGACTCAACTGTAAAAAACCTGCTATCGATTTGAAAGTTAAATCTTTTCTGAAGGATTGATCTTGTTTTTGTAAGTATAATCCTAAAATATTACATGCATACATATAAGTCACACCTGTAATACTCGTGGTGTAGGTAGAGCAGTGAGTCACTTGGACCACTTTTAGAGAAAAAAATATGAGTATCAGTGGCGTAGCTACCCAGAGGCTAGGCGGGTCAGTGCCCCGGGGCCCCCAAGCTAAAGGGGTCCTCGGCCACCAAGAACGACGTTCGAAAAATTATGTACTATCCTATATATATATATATATATATATATATATATATATATATATATATATATATATATATATATATATATATATATATATATATAGTTGCATAAAGGATTTTCGCGTTTTAACTTCTTGGGCCCTGACCGCGGACGGCTCGAACTGAAATCACAAAAATTACTCTCACTTCCAGAACATAAATATAACAATGTTAAAGATAATTATCGTCTACTTAGTTTTATTGTGTTTTTTATATAGAAGAGGAGGACAAACGAGCATACGGCTGAACTGAAGGCAAGTGTCGCCCACCGCCTATTAACCAATACAACACCAGTTAATTGCAGGCGCGTTGCCGGCTTTTTAAAAAGGAGTGATCTCGTTTCTTGAAGGGCCCTAAGTCAAGTCAACAAAGAAGTCTTGCGAGGAAGAAAACTCCTAGTAAATCGGAAAGTAGTTGACCGCCAAGCAACCCGATGATGTATGTGGATTTTTGAAATGCGTTGATGTAATTTTGTGACTGGAATTAATTCGAACAAATCCTCTGAACACTCCCCGTGGTAAATGCGATAGAAAATTCAAATGGATGTAATATCTCTTCGTCTTGTCTTTCGTCTTCACCAGTCGTCGACGATTCGCTCTGCGCTCGATGTGGTCAAGTGGAAGGAGCTGGTACAAGGGAGCCCCGACCCAGGGATGAGAACAATATTCCATGCTAGGCCTAAAATACTGTCCCGCTCTGCTGAGCACGCTAAGCTTTTTAGAGGCCAATTCAGCCTTCCTTTCCAAGTGACCACGAAAATTCACGTTATTCGGTATGTCAATGCCGAAGATTCCAATACTGGCTGAGGTAATAAGGGGAGTGCCCTGAAACTGAGGAGATACGGTTCTTTTTAACAGTAAACGCGCAAGCTTGTATCTTCTGGGAATTGAACTGGAAAAAATTTAGTCACCCCCAATCCGAGACTTTGTTCAGCAAAGACGCGACTTCAGACACAAGTTCGTTCCGGTACCCGGCGACGTTTTCCCAAAAAATATAGGCACAGCCAGGGGTTGGGTTTAGAATCAAGTCGCCTGAATTTGAGGAGTCTGTCACTGTGGGGGGGGGGGGGGTCAAGGGGCCTTATCTCAAGTGCCCCCATGCAATTTTAGCTGCCGGAGCTGCGTCGAAAAGTTTAATATAATTTTCTAAAAATATTCATAAATCACTAATTAATACCTGAAACGGAACTTTTGACATTGAGAGTAATCAGTAACAGATATACTCGACCAAAGAGAATATAATCACTACGTTTATACTCGACTTGGCGACTCGCGTCATAAGCCTCATTCCGTTGCTTCCGAGTTTACGTGAATGTGCTCCTTACTGTTATTATCTGCCTCCTGTTTTAGGACGACTTCGCTACCCATCTGGAGACCGATTGCTTGCTATTTTACGACGTTTTGTAAATGATGGAAGTTAACATTTTGGTGTTTTATTTGGTGCAAGAGCGAGCGAAGCGAGCTCGGGACACCGACTCGGACAGTTTAGGTTAGGTTAGAAAGGGATGGTGGGGTCGAGTAAGCGAGCGAAGCGAGCAAACAGGTCCCTCCATCCCCTTTCGTGGTTATTTTTTTATAAACCATCCAGAAATAGGAGCCCCGCAAAGCGGGATATAAAGCATCACCAGTGCAAGTTACTGGCTTGCAACATATTACTGATAAGCAGAAGAAACAGCGTAGGTGATAATAGCACGTAGGCTTGTGGGACACCAGCATAAATAGGCCTGTAAATGGAGCATGCACCTTCTACTACGACTTTGTTGCTCCAATCTGCAAGAAAACTGCTGATCCATTTGCATAAATTCTCGGGAAGCCAATAGGAAGGGAGCTTCGAAAGAAGCGCTTTGAGCCAAACGCGATCGAAGGCCTTCGCTATGTCCAAACTAACGGCCAGGGCCTCCCTCTCTGCCTGTCAGGTGAGCCAGAAGATCACCATCTGAGCAACCCCGACGGAAATCGTACTGGTGGTAACTTTTCAGTTGGTGATCCTCAACCTCATGAGCTCGCAGTTCACAAAGGTTTTCATTATTTTGGGGAACAAGTTGGATAGGTCTCAGCGATCGATTTTCGATTATTTTAGGGATCTGGTGCACTAAAGCTGTCTTCTTTGAGTTCGGGTCTACGCTTAGGAAGAAAGAGTTTTAGAAAAGACACGTTACGACCGATGCCAACTAGGGAGCACACGTCTTCAGCACAATGGGAGGAATTCCATCAGGCCCACTCGACTTGATGTCTAGGGAGAGTTGTGTAAACCGTATCGTACCGACTTGAAGGCGAAATCATACTTCTTTTTAACAACGCTGGTGAAGCACTCTTAATATAGCGCGATGCAATTTTCCAGGAGCAACCAAACTAGGAACCACAGATCATAGAATCAACAGTTCCATTCCCATCATTCCAATCATCTGGCGAGAAACATAACGGCCCTATCCTCAAGGGAAGGATTCAAAAAACACACCGCATCCGGTCCCAATCAGCTGACCTATTGTGCCAAACACGGCGGCGATCTGCAGAACGCAACCGCGATGGGAGTATGAGTGGCACCATAGTCCGGATCAGCCAATGATCCAATGAGCCAAGAGGTGCGTCGACGGAGACCTGATATCCGTCCAGGTGAGAGGTCAGCAGAAGGTCCAACAGGGAAGGTGCACGATCCTCCACGTTTAGAATCCGTGTAGGCGAAGTAACCATTTGTGTCAGACCATATGCCAAGGCAAAGTCATAAACAGATTTTCCCGCATGATCGGTTAAACGAGATACCAGGCCGTTCAGCATGTTGGCCGTTAAAATCACCAAGGATCATGATCTCTGCAGATGGTACCTGTTGTAGCACGGAGTTTGCAGCGATTTGGACGTGGTACCCGTAGACGCGAGGATGTTCAACGCTGACTTTCTCTGACATATACGCAAACTCTAGCCCGAGGCACAAAGGTGTTCTAATTTATACCCCGGATAGGAGAGAAGTATCGACCGGAGATGACACCTGCGTCTCGGTTAGAAAGAGCAATGTCGGCTTCGCCAGCTTCCGATGGTGCCTAGTGGACTTCGTTAACGTTCGAATGGAATCCCATGATGTTGCAGAAATTCACGGATAGCGTGGCGGGGTTACCTTTGTCTTATTGCTCTACTTGCAACGAGCAGTATTAGACTTGAGCGGAATTTCACCCACCGCCCTTCCCTAGGATACGGGAAGTAGCCTGAGCACCCGCAACAAGGAAGAATAGGGTAGCTTGTGCGTGGATGCTCAGCCAGGGATTCTCCAATACCAGGAATGCTGGTACCCTCCTGGGATGGTTTCTTATTTAATTACACTACCATGTTAAAGGGGAGAGGAGTTAGGCCTCCGACCACTGCACTTACCAGGCGAAGTAAACTTCTACTTCACGCTGATTATCTGTAAGGTCGTAGAGCTCCTCGGTTCATGCCGGTCCACGCATTCATTACAGCTCCTCGTTTTATGTATTACCTGGTCGTCGCTCCATCTAGTCTGTCGCTCCATCTAGTCATCATTCTAGTCCCACCCGAGCGACAGCAAAAGCTGCCGTGTGGCTCTTCCATTGTTATGTTGTCTGCCAATATTATTAACTGTAATCTACTTCGTCATTGTTTATGCGTTACACATAATACTTAGTAGTAAGTAGCTTTGTTTTATTATGCCTTGCAGTGAGTGACAAGAAGCTGATGATGGAGTTTTGCACCTATAAAGTATTTAGTTTAGTTTAAATAGGGCCCCAATTTCATTTTTGCCCCGGGACCCATGGTTACATAGCTACGCCACTGATAAGTACATATGGAAAATTGTGAAATGTGATAGGTGGCTAGTCCACCGCCTACAGAAACAGTACATACCATAATACCAACCCCATATACCATTAGTTACCTTTTATGACAAGGGAGGCAAGTAAATTGGTTGAGACATATCTAAATAATATATGTATATCATGTACATCCGCTTGATAAAATAAAATGATGTGTCTTACTTAGTTTGAAGAGCACCTCTGCCCTCCCGCAATTGTGTGCACTATCACCGTCACCACTAAACCCAGCACCACTACTCCCAACACCACTACACTAGGAAAGGCACACCACTGACGACAATGCGACACGTGTTTTGCCTCTACACGAGGCATCTTCAGGTAATCTAGACGTTACAATGGCTGAACGCTATTTTATTTTATCGAGTGGATGTACTCAAAGTAATTTTTTACCAACTTTAATATAATGGACTTCCGCAAAGTAACGCCTGATTCTATTAATAATTCTATACAAATAAATAAATAAAATTGAAGTGTCTGTTTGTAATATCAAAATAACAGCTTTTCACTAAATGCATGGAAAAGTATATTATATGTTATTATAACAAAAAATTTTCTTTTTAATTTTTGTCTGTCTGTTTATTCCTAATAGCTAATCTCCGAAATGACTCGACCGTTTTTGAAGGGACTTTGACTAGCTGATAGATGATGTTATAAGGAGTAACTTAGGCTACTTTTATTTTAGATAAAGGATAAGGGTTCCGTGCAAAAAAATTTAAACCCATGAAATAGAAATTCCACACGGACAAAGTCGCGGGGAACAGCTAGTTCCGTTATAAGTCTCACTTAAATATTGGATCTATAAGTCCCAGAATAGCATGGGATCCCTAAACTATTAACCAACAGAAATGCTTTGCAGTTTTAGATATTTCTTTAAGAAATTTCTAGCTAAGTGAAATTGATGAAGAGGGGTTACTCTGAAACCACTTTAAACATTGGGTTGATATGAAAACTAAAATAACATACTTATATATTTTTTTAAATTGTTATAAACATCTGGAATAACAGTGCCTATAAATACAACTCAAGATTGCAAATGGTATATCTAATGGCATGAACCAACCTGTTACAGACTTGCAACTGTTACTTGTAAATAAACAGATAAGTTTCAAGAACTGAATACAGAATGAGTACAGCTCTTGCCCAATGTAACTAATAAGTAGGACAATCAACTGTGTTACACATATAAAAAAAAATACTGCATTTTAAATTTTCTATCTCTAATAATTACTGAAATAATTGAGACCAAACTATGTTCTATCACACCAAATTTATGAAAATAAAGTTTTTGGCACTTGATTGCAGTGAATATCACTATGCCATTTGCCAAACAAGCAAAACACAAAATTTGCCAAACACTGCAATACACAAAACAATTTCATACATTACCTGTGTGTTTCAAATACAAGCACCTGTCATAAGTTTAATAATAAGTATTTTTTGCAGTAAACCTTTTAAATTCCAATATAAAAATACCAGATAAACTGTTTTTACCAATTAAAAACATAATGCATATGCACTGTCACCCCGGAGGACTAGTAACGAGGTAATTCCTCGTTACCGGTAAAAAGGGTCTCACATACAAACACTGCATCATTATTGTGATGTTTCACACTGGTATTTTGTGAGTGTGATCCTGCCTTCGTTGAGCTAACTCATTTGAGCTGCAGCCATAATAACAGAGTGACTCTATCACACAAAAATCCATGTTATCATCCATACATAGAATTTAAAGGATTATTATCATCATCATTACAGCCCCTCACAAATCCACTGCTGAACATAGGCCTACCCCAAAAAATGTCACAAAACAAAGTCCTGAGCCACTTACATCTATCGACTTCCTGTATGTATTACCAGCTTGTCACTCCAACTAGTGGGGGGCCGCCCCACACTTCATCTACCAGTACAAGACTGCCACTTGAGAACCTTGCTTCCCCATCGGTTGTTGGTTCTTCGAGCTATATGGCCGATCCATTGCCACTTTGGCTTACTAATCAGTAGTTTAAAGGATTATGATAAATATTTAATCCTAGATTCTTCCATCAGATTGCAACTTGTTTGCCGAGTCAAATGCAAGAGGTGTTTACGTTTGGCTTAAATTAGAAGATTGCATACAAACTGTAATGTTTTATTTCACATTCTAAAGGTTTGTATTTTCCAAAATTCTTTGATCTTTTACTTAGGAAAATATTTAAAATGGCATGCCAAATCATTGAACCCTATCATAATGTTGATGTTGATTGTAGAAAATTATTTTAAACTGTACTTATGCACAAACTTGTTTATACAGTTTTTTATTCTTCTATCAAATTTGATATGATTTGAATAAATAATATCAATCAACAAAGGCCATTGTTTGCACTGTGGTGTGATGTGCACACAGAACATATATAGCCCTAAAGGGGACTGGAAACTGGATGTGCAGCTGCAGACTATTATCGTTTCTTTCGGTTCAACTTACCTTCAAAAAGTTATTGAAAAATATTCTTTAAATTAAAGGTCATGATTAAGTATACATGACTTTCCACTGCATTGTTTTAATACGATTTTTATTTAATATAGCGCACATATAATCTTTTATGGCGTAATTATAATTTAGAACTTTTCATTAAGCCAATATTTTTAATTAATTTTTATTTTACTCGGAAATAAAAATTATTAAATGATTTTATATGGAATCATTTTATTAGTATAGAATGTAGATAAAGATCATTGAGTTATATGTACTACGTACTAGACTAGAGAAGCCATTCCGAACATTGATTATGTCAATATATAATGCTGCCTCCACACGCTTGGTGTGCCACACATTCACGAACAAACACCGACCACATTCACCCAACACAAACACGGCATCCACACGCTTGGCGAACGTGCTAGTGCTAGTATATTCCGGATAGGCAAACATGACGGCACAGAGTACATTATATTATATAGGGAACATGACGGATGACGAGCTTGTGGCAGCGATTAATTTCGGGTTGACCTATTTTTATTTAAAATAAGGCAATATGAATTGCTCTCAAGGTTATTGTATTAAAGAATTTATTTACCATAGAATCTCAAATTAATTGTTAATTATCACTGCTATAAATTGTCTTCAGGTTGAAATAAGTTTAGTTTGAACGCTTTTATTCGTATTGCATAGCTTATTATTATGTAACACGTTACTCTAAATTAATCTAAAAACAAACTTTTATGAAGTTAATTCTTGACCGGGGAATCGAACCCCGAACTTTCGTTTGACATTATATTGAATCTATTTACTTTTAACATAGATTATCTCTTTATTCGAAGTGCCTTATACACTTTAATAGCAATATTTTCAAAACGCACAATTGTTTATTTTTTATGGAATGAAAATGTAATTAATAGAATCAGGCGTTACTTTGCGGAAATCCATTATATAAAAACTTTTAGGAAAATTTACTTCGCAAATATCCGCGTTATAAAATAAAATGATGTGTCTTACCTAGTATGAAGAGCACCTCCCGCCCTCCCTCAATTGCGTGCACTATCCCCGTCACCACTAATCCCAGCACCGTTACTCCCAACACCGCTACACTAGGCAAGATACACCACTGACGATAATACGACACGTGTTTCACCTCTACATGATATAGACTCTACGGTGTTTACTCTAAGTCAGTTTAGCGGTTAGTCACCGTAGAGTCTATATCACCTGAGGATGCCTCGTTTCTTAAATAATAGCCACTAGTAACTCCTTCCGCCGCCCGCAAGCCGCAGGCTCGCGCGTACTACTGACTGATCGCCAAACGTGTGGATATATCGCAAACACGTTTATCGAACACCCTTTGATCGGTGCATAAAAACCGACACCAACGCCAATCACTGGCAATCACATACAAACAAACAAACAAACAGGCGAACAACCATCCACACGTTCGTGATTGCTCTTTGGTGTTTGCTGTTCGCCGTTGTTTGCCAAGCGTGTGGATGAGGGATTATACTGGAGAGACTATGTTCAACTAGACGTGTGTATCTCTTTACGGAACCGACTCACTGATCCGAATCACTGAAGTGATTCAAAAGATTTGTTCAGTAACAACGTTTCAAATGCATCATTTGGATCTGGAACAGTGAAACATTACTTTGCTCTCTGCTCATTTCCCGCGACGCGTCGCTTGCGAGGTGACTGAGCCACGAGCAAGAGAGACAGACTGAGACAAACTTAACTATTGACTCGCGAGTGGCGAGTGAGCGTACGAGATAATTATAATCCATACAATTCAGATAGAGATATTAAATAAGAAGTGTATCACTCAACTTGTACGGATTTTCGCTATCGTTATTCATGCACGTAAAAATTACTACTAAGGCGCTTACGTATCAAATACTATACGGTCGTTTTTTTGTATGTAATGTTTGTATTAACAAGTTGTCATTTTACGTTGATGCGGCACTTGTCAAATTGTTTATGTTCATTAGCGCCTGTTTACGAAAACATACTGAGTTCTGTTTAGGATTTCTTTGCGTAGTGATTATTGTGACTTACTTTCTTCCTTTTCATCATTAAAGTTAGAGTTATGAGACTTTACGAGAAAATTCTGTGTACATTGTAGTTTTGTGTAAATGGACATTTTTGTAAATAATGAATTGACATAATGACATTTTTGTTAAAGTATGAAGGAGTATCGATTTTATATACAATCTTATTACGGTGCACAATAAATAACTTATAATATATATAAATATATAATAACTAAATAAATAATATATAATAACATAACATTTCACTGATCAGTCAGTAATAAACGCCCGCGATGCAAATTAATCTATTCGGAACATTCTGTATTTTATATCTTTTGAGTCGATGATCCAAATGAAACATATCAGTGTTTCGGAACATTTCAGTGATAGAGATGCAAATGTTCCAATCGCTAAAATGATACACTTTGGCCACCTCCATGTTCAACTGAACTGTAGTGCAATCCATACAAACTAAATATTGCGTAAATTGAAGATTTGTGAATTCCATAAAATAATAATTATTACATTTTATATAAAAAATGTTTGTTATATATTTTATATTAAATTCTTATATTTATTTTATATTAATATCTTATTTTATGCTTATTTTATATTAAATTAAAGTCTTCGCCTTGCTACATATTTATTTATCTATGGTCTTCGCGCACGCCCGACTACTACTCCTCCAGTATTATATATTAGTCTATGATTTATGTACTACTCCCGCGCATGCGCGAAGTAATAGAGTAGGACACAATTTTTGTTTGGAATAGCTTCTCTAGTACGTAGCACATATAACTCAATGATAGAGATAGTGTATAATATGAGTATTTACTGTGGTACTTGTGTGGTACCTACCTATTTATTTACCAATTTACCTTGAATTTACCTATACCTAGTGATGAGTCAACTCGAGTTACTAACTCGAGTTTTATATTTATATCCCTAACGCGAGTTTGGGCTGCTGTACATGAACGGATCAATTGAGTCAGCAAAAGAGTAAGAACGCGATTCGTTCATTGTGTGCGCACTTTGTGTTTCAAAGAGTATTTAGCTCCAACCAAAAGAATTTGTTATTTAGAATTTTATATTAGCTATGTTATGTCATTTAATTTCTTTTATAATTTTGATTAATTATAATCAATATAGTTATGTACGTCACAAACTTATTATTATTTTAAACCTGTTGTATTACCCGAAAATGGTAGTTAGTTGTAAGATACATCATATTTTAAATTAACGCCAAATGTAACACTAAGCTTACAATAAATATTTAGAATTTGAACAACGTCATCGGTGCTCCTGTGGTAGCAGCGTCGACAAGTTTGGGATCCACGGACTTTCATGTAAGAAAAGTGCTGGTAGGTTTTCATGGCACGGTTCTTTGAACGATCTCATCACAAGGGCTCTTGTCTCTATAAATGTTCCCTCGGTTTGAGAGCCTTGTGGAATATTGAGGACGATGGCAAGAGACCCGACGATATGACATTGGTTCCTTGGGAGAAAGGTAAAGCCCTAGTGTGGGATGTTACTTGCGTAGACTCTTTGGCGACCTCTCATCTCAGGGGTACCTCGTTTATAGCCGGGGTGGCATCAGAGGCAGCTGAACTGAATAAGTGGCGCAAATATGAATCTCTGAGAGATGACTACATATTTGTGCCATTTACTGTAGAGACTATCGGTCCGTGGAGTCCACGTGCGAATAAGTTCCTAAAGGAACTCCATCCGCCGCTGGTTGTTGCTGGTGGTAATAAGAAGGCTGGCTCTTTTCTCATTCAAAGGCTAAGTATAGCCATTCAGCGGGGAAACGCAGCCAGTGTTCTTAGCACTATACCGCGGGGAGTAGGACTGAATGATAATTAAGTTAGTTTACTAGTTTTAGATTTTTTATTATAGTTTTTAATATTGTATATAATAAAATACTGTATATTATTTGAATTTATTTAAGAATATTTTGACTGTGATCATTAAATTACTAATAGCTTATCCTACCTACCTACATCTTAAAGCTAGACTAATATTGTTAGGTGAAGACCGCTATACATACTAAATATACCTTTTATTTCAATCCTACATAATAAGTTTAGCACCAAAGAGCTAGACAGAAAACTGTTAATCTCGAGTTTAAACTCGAGCTGCGTGAATTTTAACTCGAGCTAACTCGAGTCGTGATTTTTCCTAGTTGGCACATCTCTAAATTTGCTATACTCTACAGTAGGCTTGGGCAAAAAATATCGAGATATCGAAATACCGATATATAACGTCGTTATTTTTCATCGTGATATATTAATACATCGATATTTACTTTAGAGTACGTATTCGTATCAATCTTGATATATTTTAAAATGTTGTATTAATGAGCAAAACATGAAACAACAAAAGAAGCTACAAAAGCATTCATGTGTGTTACATCATGCATATGATGCCGATATATCGATATTTATCACGCGATATATATCGATATATTTAGGGAAATGCCTACGTATACCCGCCTCGCGGGGGCAAGGACGGGTTATGTCGGACTCGCACCCACTAAAACCCCATAGTGTTCCACCTTCGCCGCATATTGGCAGAACCACGGGAACGCTTTCGCACACATCACTGCCCCAGCAGCGTCGGCCGCCCCTTGGCAGCCCCTTCGCGGGAGAGGACCTCACCTCCCCATTCTCCTTCTCAGGCAAAGCGCACCAGGAACACAAGGCAAGCCACAGCCTCCAACTCCAACTGCGTATCGGAACCCCCTCCCCCCCCCCCCCCCCCGAGTCCAATACGCGGAGGCCATGGGGCCAGGAAAATCGAGCGCTTAGTAGGACCTGCTCTCCCGACCCCATCGGCGGATCTGGTCTCTGGCTCCACCGCCCACCAAGTTTCGGCCGCGGAGTGTAGGGAGACCGGCGCCTCGCAATACCGACACTCCTTTCCCAACGTGGCCCCGCCACCACTGCATCAACGATGCAGCCCCTTCAAAGTCGCGAAGGATAGGGCGAGTGGCGCATCGCCATACCACCACTCCTCTTCCTCCGCGACTTCACCTCGGCTGCAGCGGTAGGGGGAGAGGACACCCCTCTTACCACAGCCCACCGACACACATCCGAAGTGGGCTCGCCAAATCCACTCGGAGTGGTAACCTCGGGCCGGCCCTACACCACGGGCCAGCCTAGGGGTTCCTCTTTGTTCACCGCGGGTGACCAAGCCACGGTTACTAAGCTTCCCCCCCACCCCCGCCACGAGAAGTTGGGAACCCGTTCCCTTGCCCATCCCTACTCCACA